GATACATATCAGTTTAAGTTTTAATAATGCATGATACTCACCTCAGGTTTCATATCTTGTTTCGAGGACGATCTGTGCGCGCACACAAATATTAGGAGCAACAGCCTCGTGAACCCGCTCCAGATCATTTTTCGCTCTGATTCCTTTGTTGAAAAAGTACTCGTGATAAAGTTTGACACCACTTTGTTACTGTCGAAATAAAAAACGCTTTAAAAACTAGTGCCTACCACAATAGTGGTACAAATTGGACGAGAACTTTGGTTTCTCCAGAAAAGCGGGAGAATACAGACGTTTATCAAAATGTAAACAATACCTGCGATATATTACCGTTGCATTGCACGGACTGAAACTCTACAGTCTAAAAGTCATCGTTTCATGCACTGGGCGCTAGAATGGAGCATCGACAGAACGCATTGTAAAAACAGACAAGCTATCATTGGCAAATATATCTTTGTCTTATTTTTCTAGTTTAATAAAATCTTCGGCTTCTCATGCACAGCAACCCCTTTCTCTTGGTTGTAGACGTGGTCGCTCGATCGAAGTTGCCAAAAAACTGGATAGTAAAATCCCTCCCTCTTCCATTTAGCCCATCCCGCTCACTTCAGATCCACGAACTTCATGGCCTTGCTGACGACTTTTTTGCTGGACCTTCCTTGTGGACAGAGAACATACTTCATATGCCAGTTTCCCCCTCCCTGACTAGTAGACTATTGTTTAGATCAATGTTTTTAAAGCAATTTTAATTGAGGGTTTTGCTCGACATTCGTTTAGTGTTTACCATCTGTCTCTTTGTGGCACTGCCCAAAACACTGCTCTAAAGCAAACAAGCATGACAGAATGATTCATTTACACTTGATGGAAAAATACGAGCATAGCGCCAGGGGATGTAATGTAATTTGGCTTTTTATGTTATAGTTGATATATTTAAAACATTTGTAGGATTTTTATGTCATTAAATTCTTACAAAATAAGACAATTTATAGTTTTGTGATTTAACACCTTATGGTTTTAAATGTACAGCATATGTTTTGTAGTCATATATGCAGCGTATATATTTTATACAGTATTATCATGTCTCGAGTCTGTTAGTGCCAAGGTTCAACACTCCCACCTACCGGTGGCATTCTATCATTACATGTTTTGCATTTTGATAGATAAACTGGAGCAGGGGTGCCCATACCTTTTCTTAAGGAGGGCCGAAAAGCAAAATTGATTGAGGACTGTGGGCCGAAGGAAAAAATACCAAACTATATTAAATTAAATTTGCCATGGGTAATTAATAATGTTAAAAATAACTACAAATCTATGCTTTATATTAACTAATGCAGTTTTTTAATAATACATTAATAACAGTAATAACAAAAACAATCCCATTTAGAACAGAGGGAAGTTTAATGCCGAATACACGAGTCAACTTGCATCTGTTTTTGCCTTGATTTGATGTCTCGCTGATGTCTTTGGCATTGTTCTCTGTCCATAGATTGACAGTATTTACAGTATTTTTGAATCTAATTGACACATTTATGTTTAGTTTGCTTTTTTTTTGTAGCTCAGCAATAAAACAATCAAAAAAGCTATGTTAAATTAGAAATTACGATCTCAGTTAAAGACATTCGCCCCCAACCCTCCCATCAGTCTCTTCTCAGACTGGATGGTGGGCCAAATCAAAGGTTACCGTGAGACAACTTTGGCCCGCGGGCCCTAGTTTGGGCATCTCTGAACTAGAGCAAATACAGTGCTCATCATGGCGGAGTACACCACATTTTGAAAATGAGTATTTTTATCCATTTGCCAGTGAATATGGGCAATATATATTGGTGCATTTGAACAAAACAGATTTATTAAACAGATATATTTATGAAAAAAAGATTTTAGTCATGGAACATCTTTAGAAATGGAAAGATAAATCATTTAAATTCATGCAAAATATTGCAAGAGAAAACATTCCAACACAATTATATATACTTTGTTTCTCTTGTTTTTTGTTATTTTTGAAAATTTAATTTAATATTTTCCCTAACATATACATTTGGGCTACTAATATTTGAACCATTATTGTAAGCTATTTTGTTAGATTAGCTCCAGATTTGGCTTCAGTACTGACTAAACTAATGTACATGCACAAATATAATATTGTAAAGCATACTATAGAAAATATTAATTTAAATGAGAGATTCGTGCATGTTATCACATATTAAGATGTTTAAAATAGATCCCACCTTTTACTTTTAGAAGAACTTCCTTCTGTACTTCTGGGGAGCCCTGAACGATTTGTGAAGAGATCTTTCATTCATCAGATTTAAGGATGTTAAAGATGGTGCTGAACATGTGGATGTAGAAGGTTTGCACACCCTTACTGAGTGACTAATTTTCTGCATTTTCCATATCGAAGGAACCCATGATGACTTTTTCTGAGTGAACATAAATCTTTTCGGGTATCAATGTGAAGGATTAATGATTATATCAAAGGGGTTTTTCCCATTGCTTATGTGCAATGTATTTTGGGTAGTACTTTATATTATAGTTATGTTTTGTGTTGCCTACATACGTCCTACTTATAGTAAGAATACATAACTGAGCTAATAACTGGGTATCACTTAACCTACTCTGTAAAACCCAAAAAGTTAAGGTAACTCAAACCATTTACAAAAACCGATTGCAACAAACCATTTAAGTTCAAAAACTAATTCTTATGTGTACTGTGAACCTAATCCATTTTAATAAATGAAGAAATTTGAGCGCAGTAAAACCTAATAAATGAAGAGAACTCAAACCAACTGAGTACTGAAAAACCCAATATGTTAAGGCAACTCAAACTATTTGAGTTTCTCTTTTCAAATTAGTAAAATTAACTTTCAGTACATTTTGAGTTACCTACACTCATTTCATTTGATAAAGTTGACTGTTGGGTTTTACAGTGTAACATTTAAGGCATAATTCACCTAAAAATGATAATTATTTACTCAGCCTTCAATTGATCACAAGCTATTTCGAGCTTCATTCTTCTGTTGAACACGAAAGATTTAAGTTTAAAGAATGCTGGTTACCTGAACCTACTGACTTGCATAGTATTTTTGTTTCAGTACTATGGAAGTCAATATGTGCCATCAACCAGATTCGTTTCTCAATAGTGGAAGTAGGCATAGTTGGGTAAACTTAAAAGCGTAGTGAATTGGAGAGTACAACAAAAATTTTTTTTTTTTACAATTGTGATTGCTGAAATAATAAAAGAAAAGCTCCGCGATGGTGAAAAAATGTGGAGACTGATAATTGCAGACAAGTATACCAAGCATCAGCAGCAGAAAACTGAAAAGAGTAGCAACCAAATAAAATGCGAACTGTGGTTATACAAAGGTTAATAAAACTACTAGAGCGCAGATTTTGACATGTTTTCTGAATGTTAGGAAGTGACTGTAAATATACTTTAGTAGAGTTTTCCCAATAAGAGTTTTGTAAATGAACAGAAACCAATGAATTTGTCGGCGTAATTAGAGAAAAGGCCAATTCAATAAAGAATACAGTTGACAGTGATGAGTATTAAACGGCGCAACAGTAACTAAACTAATTGCTGCTTGGTAAATAACATCCAGTTTGTGAAGAAGAGTTTTTGAAGCTGATCTGTAAATTAAATCCCTATAATTCAAAATTGTTAATACTGTTAATTTGACCAATACCTGATTGATTTCCTGCCCTATATACGCTGCATTAAAAACTGCATTAAAAACTGCATGAAAATTCTTTAAAAACTTAGAAAATTCTTTTTTTTTTTTTTTTTTTTTGTAATTTGTTGCAAAGGTACAACGGTAAGATATAATTCACATATAATTGCATATAAATGTTCATACATTGCAAAAAAAAAGCTAAATATTAAAAGCTTTCAGGGGTTTAGGATGCTGATGACCATTAAACGCATCATTAATAGTCTTGTGAAAAGGGTCTATACTTTCTTTTGTGTCCAACAGAAGAAAAAAACTTGTATAAGGAAGAATAAATTAGGTCATTTTCATTTTTTGGCGGCTGAACTATTACTTTAACCCATGTAGTTACCCTACATAACCCAGTACTTTAAACATTAATTACATGTACTGTTAATATTTAGATATTTATGCCAGATTTTGCAACTTAATGTACTGGTCTTAACTTAAAACAAGCAGTTTCTTAAGCCCCACAGTAAAGCAAATGTTGTGGAATCTCCAAATAATCTACCCCATTAGTGAGGGTAGACGTGTGACCCTCTTAGATGCAACAACTATGTAACTGTAATAACTCTATACTGTAAAACCCAACAGTCAACTTTATCAAGTGAAATGAATGTAGTTAACTCAAAATTGACTAAAAGTTAATACTACTCATTTGAAAAGAGTTTTGAACTCAGTGTTGAATGTAATGAGTTAACATACCTCATTACTTCAACTCAAATTTTGTAAGTTCACAGTACTCATATAGATTAGTTTCCTCAAACAGTTTGAGTTGCCTTGACTTATTGGGTTTTTCAGTACTCAAACTTCTTCGTTTACTCAAATAGATTAAGTTTGCAGTACTCATTAGGATTAGTTTTTGAACTTAAATGGTTTGTTGCAATCGGTTTCCCTTAAATGGTTTGAGTTACCTTAACCTTTTGGCTTAACCAGTTTAAGTGCAACATTACACCCAATATTCACATAGCCCTACAAACAAACACATAGACCATACTTTATTTAGGTCTTATGTCTCTGCATGGTTGTCATGGTGCAAGAGATTAGAGGCCAGTCCTCAGACAGATTGTCAACGCTTCCTCCAGTTTCTCCCTCACTGCGCTTGATGTGGCACACACAGAAGCGGTGCGGAGGAGTTTGATTGTGTTAGGGAGTGAACGGATTAGGGATGCCTGTATGTGAAGAAAACTGTTCCCTCAGACCACCAAGGAAGAGTAACATCACTGTAGATGAGATTTATACTGTTAAACAAAAAGACAACAACAAAGAGTGTGAGCGATCTGAAAGAACTGCTCGTTCTGGGTCTTGCCGTGAATACACTGATTTTTATTTCCTTTTAGCTGTACCATGAAATTACAACTCACAGTCAGACTCGTACACCCAATTATTCATTTCCATGGAAGATAGATACATGTAAAAGTATCCAGACAAAGAACAAACACCACCATAGAAACAAACATTTCCACCAAGAAATATAGAAAGTGTTATTTTTCTTTTAGCTAGATAGTGGTTCATCTCAGAATCAGTCTTTTTCAATAGCTACACTGACAATATTAAAGTAACAAGAACTTACACTGACTAACATACAGGCTTGTTAAACAATCTTACCCGACTCTAGTTGGTGTTAAGAGCAGTATATTATCTAGTACTGTACAGCTGGACAAACATGGACACAATGGACACAAGTTGACAGGTCATATTTACAGTTTGGTGTTTCGGTGCTTCCCAAGTGTTAAAAGAAAGAGATTTAGTACAAGTAAAGAATGCATTAGTACAAGAATATTTATCTAATGTCAATTTTAACAAGAGTTTTAAATATCAGCTTGTCAGGAACACTTGGTTTGCTCTTGGAAAACAATTCTACACGCATATTCCAGCTGTACTGTCTAGTATCTGGTATATGGTAGGGTATTTTGCTGAACATTTGACCTCATTAAGAAAATTTATAAGAACTGTTTGACAAAGGTTGATAGGACTGTGCATGGATGCCCTCCAAAACATAATGCAGCAGGGTATTGACATAGTTTAACACATTGTTTGACCAAATAAATACTTTTTCAGAATCTGTTTTTGGTATATTAGTGTGTTTTTAATAGGGATGTCCAGATCCGAAAACATGATCGTAAATCTGGCCCGATCACACGGATTCAGACGTAGCCTTCCGATTCTGATTATTATTTTAACACATCTATAGTTATGCGGTGGCACAGAGTTAGACTTCTTTCACACAGAAACAGCAACATGTGCGGCATGACGTCACTTTTGTTGCAGAGACGCTATTGGTTGAATGCCCGCAAAGTAAATGCGGAATGCGCGAGTATGTCTGCGGACTAGAGGCATTATAAAGTTGATGTAGACAACATTACCATAGCAAACTGTGAGATATGTAAACTTGGGATTGCCTGCTGGGTATTTTAGGTTGAGGTGCTATTTATTTTTATATTAGATTTTTATTATGTTTACTGTTGCACTAAAGTCCAAAAGTGAAGAATTTATGTTCTTTATTACTTGATTGTTCAAGCTACCTCACAGAAGTTCTCTGTTTTTTAACAAGAGTTGTTGAATGTTAAAATAAGATGAATTACATAAAAAATAAGGAGCATACTGGATCTGTTTTTCCACTCATCTTTTTTATGTATTACAGAAGTAACGGATCAGGATTTGGTATCGGTAGATCCTTAAAATCAAATGACTCAGACTCGGGGGCAAAAAAACCTTATCAGGACATCCCTAGTTTTTAAACACACACCCTCGCTTTACCATCGCTTAAAGATTTGATTACAATCTTCACATTTTGTGCTGTTGTAAAAAAATAGCACACCCGAACAATACATCTTTGTGAACTGATCCATCATTTCATCATTGGCTTCTTAAATTTTGCTCTGTTCCTCACTCAAAACTATTATCAAATCGTTAGCTCTATTCAGTTCTTCACCTTTAGAAAAGTCTACAAAACAATCATGGCAACCTCATCCAGACAAAACAATTTACATTCATCAAAAGAACATCACCTAATACTTAAGGAAGTACTATAAGATATATTTAGGCATCATTACATATATTAAAATACACAATACTTGTATTTTAATATAAAAGATCTGTGTTAAAGATCTGATTTTTTTAAACCAAGAAGTGATTTTATGTGTTTACCGTGAGTGTGTTTTTCTTTTTCTTCTGTTTTTGGGGAGCAATTAAAATCGTGGTTCATAATATCCTTCAGGTTCTTCCCTTTTGTCACCTATTAGATTGATCTAAAAATTTAACGGGGTCGTCTGGTGAGCTTTCTGATGCTTGAAGTTTTCACATAGGTTGAATCAAGAAACTCACTCATGCCCTGGTGGCAAGTAGGTTGCAAGGTTGTGAGATTGTGGTCGGTCATTATGCATGACTTTCTCTGGTCCCTTGGTCCTAGCAGGAGCTCGAGGTGTCTTGACAACTCCTCCATGGTGCTTCATATGTCCCTAGAAGATAACACAAGAGAGGTTTAAGTCTTTTTAAGATAACTAACATTGTTAATTTGTATTTAAGATGGATGAATATTAGTGCTCAGCTTAAATTTAAAAGGACACTTACTTTGAGTCCACTGCGACTTGCATACTCTTTTCCACATTCAGAACAGTGGTAGATTTTTTTCTCTGGCATGGGAGGTGGAAGACTGGGAGTAAGGGAAATGCATACAGTAGGTTCTGTTCTGTCCATTTCAGTTGCAGTTGCATCATTGAGGTCTGCTTTATCCATTGCATCCGAGCTATAGTGAGTATCCTTTGTAATCTTCTGCACACGTGTGTCCGCCTCCTCAGACTCAACTGCATCCTCACTTGTTTTGGTTACAGTGTCTGATAGCATTTCTTGATCAGTACTCAACTCTGGCGGTATCTTTTGACCATTCTTTGGTGTTTTGCGACCTTTATCTTCAGTTTTTTGTTCATTGGGAAACTCTTGTGGAAGTGATGTGGATGTTTGGACAAGACTTTGGTCAGGCTCCTCTAGACGTACATTTTGAGAAGACACACTCTCAGATCCCAGCACTAAGGGAGAAGATGGCGGTGAAACGGGATGTGTCCGAGAGGCTCTGGATGCATTATGAGCTTGTATGCTAAGAAGATCCTCCAAATTTGATCTTGATCCAGAGCAAGGGACAGCTGAGAGAGATCTATTTTCACTGACTTCACAGTCATTTTCTTGTGGACTGGTATTCATCAGAGCAGATGTGCTTGAAATGTCTCCCAAGTAGGCAGTGTTGCTGGACAGTTCAAAACATACTTCATCATTGGCAGTAGTACCAGATGTTGATGCTGATTGAGAGGTTGGGGGGAAGAGGGAAGCTGCAGATTCTACTGGGGAAGGTATGTTGAGAGAGAGCTCAGGAGGATCAGCTATAAATGTTGGAGGTGACTGGGGTGTTAAATTCAGAGAGGGGCCAGGGCTTAGATCGAAAGTTGGTATAGGACCTGAGCTACGTGAAGCAGGTAGACTAGAGGTTACAGGACAAACTGTGGGTGCAATACTGACAGCGAGTGATTCAGTATGGCTGGAATCTGAGATGGTTTGTCGATCAGCATGTAGCAACTGAACATCCACAGTGCTAGGAGTATTCTCTGAGCCAGAGGGCTCAATGGACTGGGAGTGAGACTGTGAATCACATTCTGTTGAAGTATCGGGCATGTGCTCTGGTGGTAGCTGTCCTCCTAAATGCATTCGGATATGATGTTGTAACACAAGGGCATTGGTAAACTTCCGCTGGCATAAAGGACAAGAATTCTGGGCACGACTGTTTGGTGGACGTGCTCGATGAGTGGCAAGGTGTGCTCGAAGGCTTCCTTTAGTTGAGAAAGAACGACCACATAGTTTGCAGGGGAAGGGTCGCTCACCTAAATGAGTAGCCTGATGCAAACGTAATGCTCTTGGGCAGCTTAGTACACGCAGACACACGCTACACTGGTTAGGGGCAAGTGTCCCAGCAGAGTTCATAAGTCCCATGTAAGGTGACTCCTTGCTGAAGAGGGATGAGGGTATTTGGACTGTAGACGATGGGAGTGAGGTGACAACATTCGTACTATATGTACTTGTGCTCATTAAGCCACTGCTGCTATACGTTAATGTTCCAGATACACTATTGCCGCTGGTAGATGTCTCCCCGATGGATGATTCCCAGTTTGTCTGACCATGTGGTTCTTTCTCTAACTTTTCCACTAGTCTCTGCAGCTTTGATGTGTCCGATGTTGGAGTTGAGATGGATGGGGCAGTGGATGACGAGGTGAATGGAAATGTAATGTGGTGTTGTGGAGATGGCAGGAAGGATCCAGCTGGACTTGTTGGCCTGAGAAACCCATGACCTAGGTGATGGTGAGAGGAAGAAGCTGGGAAGAAGATTTTAGGTAAGTTAGCAAGCTGTGAATAAGCAGTGTGGGGGAGCAGAGTGGGTATAGGTGGGGTGTTTTCATCAAAGCGCTGCTGTTTTACTCCTTTATACACACCAGCAATGGAGGAGGTTGATGAGGCAGGAGAGGAAAGAAGAGTGGAGGCTAGAGAGGAAGATGATGAGGATGTGATTGAAGAGGTAGTGGATGTAGAGGCTGCAGCAGCAGCCGCCGCAGCAGCAGCACGATTGAGCTGGAGGAGAGAGTGTGCAGTGGTCAACAGGGCCAAATCAATACTGGGAGGCAGAGATGAAGCTGTAGCACGTGTTGATGCAGTAGCACCCTCCAGACTGTCAACACACAGGTCATCATCTTGCTGTTTCTGATGCCTTTGAGTAGTGTTTGTATTGGTAGAGGTGACCGTTTGAGTTTGTGCTGATCCTCCCATTGATCCTCCAGTTACAGATGCAAACAATGAACATGGAAATAATGAAAAGGAAAGTTCAGGGTTTTGCTCACGATGGCGCAGGAAGTGGACCTTAAGGTTTCCTCGTGTGGTGAATCGACTGAAACATACAGGACACTGGTAAGGACGTTCTCCTGTGTGTGAGCGCAAATGTATTTGCAGGGATGAGTCACTGCTGAAGAGTTTCCTACAAAATCGGCATGCATGCTGCATACGTCCTGATGATAAGACGGAGGAACCAGCTTGAGCAGAGAGTTTTAGATCCTGTGAAGGACCTGAAGGTACAGCAGCTACTGGTAGAGATTGGTTTTGAAAGGGCAGACCACTGTGTCCACTGGCTCCCGTGGTGTTAGATGATTTTTGGGTTGGTAGGCCCAGGGAAAGTGTGAGTGGGTAGTTTGAGGCAACAGGTGTGGACATTGCTGAGGATGTGGAAGCACTTGTATGACTGGTGAAGTTTGTTGGAGTTGTTACCACACTGTCATACTGTGCTTTATGGGGTCGTAAGACATTTAAGAGGGGGTTGGAATGTTTGGAAGACTGAGGAGGTAACAGGGATGAGAAGCAGGCCAAAAGAGGAGCAACTGAGGAGGGGGGAGATGATGACTTTGGTCGGGAGGGTCTAGGGTTGTTATCAGAGCCTTTTAAACAGAACTGAGGCAGTGATGGTAGTATGCATGGCTTTGAATCCACTTCACATGGTCCTCCTCCCAGTCTTAACACTTGTCTACATATTTCTTCAGTCATCTGCATCTGATGGATTTGTCTTTGTTGCAGCACACGTAGCTCTTCCAGGATAAAAGCAATACTGACTGGTGCACATGCCGGAGCTGAAGGGACTGTGCTTGGGCTGGAAGAGGGTGTAACAGGACTTGGGGGACCCTGAGGCCCAGAACTGGGGCTTCCAGGATGTGGAGGCACACAGAGAGAAGCAGCAACAGAGGATGATGAAGAGGAAGTTGTGGTTGCTGACACACCTAACTTTGGAGAAGCCATGAGTAAGCAACTGTGTTTATGAGTAGACACACTTGATGCAGTGGTCTTGATGCACTGATTAGTCAAATGGGATGGGATGTCAGGAATATGGGAAAGGTTAGACCCCTTCAGATTTAGAGTTAATTGTAGGGGCTGACAGGGGATGTGAACAACACTATGGCTGGCTCTGGTCGGGGAAGATGTTTTTAGTCTCTCAATTGGTGGAGTTGGGTTTAAGGTAGATTTGCAGCTTTGACGTGTCGAGTATGAGGAAGAGTTCTGTTCAAGAGTAGAGGTGAGGGGCTTCACTGCCGGGTGTTCCTCTATGAAAAAAGAAAAAAAAATCAATGGAACAGTTTATGCCATTAAGATAAGCGAGTGTTATTTAACCTCTAATATTAAGTCTAATATTTGTAATGCAATTCCAGTAAGGTGCAAGATGAAAAAAATACATAGGGAATTATTTGATACCGGTTCAACTGTGTTGGTTAAATTATGCAATTCGTTTTGAACTACATTAATTTGTTTGTTGTCTGCCAAGTTAGTTACAGTAGAACTGATTAACCGTAAGCTAATTGACAAAGCTTTTCTTGGTCTTACAGACCTGCAAACCCAATTTCTAACCTTTAGTATTTTTCCTTCATGCTGTTGTCATCGTAATTGCTTTCCAATTGTGTTCACTCACTGCCAGTGCTTACACAATCATCACCAAGGAAACATAGCATATATTGAGCCTCACATACGAAGAGGCTGCCTCTGGCTGAACGTCTTAGAAGAACACTGAATTTCATTCAAATGCCAACCGAAGTGTAGTATTGCTGTTTCAACAAAGCGCCCCATCAACATCATCCACTGTGCTACTCCCTCTGACCATACATCTTCTTTAAACATATTTTTTAATACATTCATCATGTCTCATAGAGCATGAGGAACATTGTTTGTACTTTTAATTTTCACCTCTTTTTTTATAAACAAGTCTTGTACATGGAAGACTCCGCCTCTCCTTCTCTCCCCTCACTCCCTCTGATCTGAAATCCCATCCTTCAACTAGCTTTCGATGCTTTTTGCACTGCTAGCAGCCAACTTTGTTTCCACAGCAACAATGAACATGGACAATGAACCTTGCAACAAAATTCCCAAACCCCTACTCTGACTCACCTACCCACCCTCTAGAATGAGTAAAAGAATATATGCTATTACATCTCCATGCTTAAAAAATCCTCTGTCTTAAATAAGTGAAGCCTGAAAGGTCAGCAAGCTTTAGTGCCATTGTCAACTTGTTAAAATAGCTAGATTGCTTAAATTATGTGACCTTCAGCATCATTTGCATCCATAAACCAATAGGATTTACAGACGACAGTCAAAACAAGTATGCAAAATTACTGTGACATACACACTCGCATGTAGGGAGATATATACAAAGAGTTTTATATACTTTAAAAACTGTAGAATTTAAGTCACAGATCAACACACTCTTATTCACGTACCTCCTGGCAGTTAATGCCTGACTGCACGACCACAAAGGCTCACAGAGACAATGAACTCTCATGCCATTCCCGTTAAGGCACTCAAGTGGTTCCTTCTTTTTCAACGTTGCCCCTTTTTTCCACAACCTTCTTCAAATCTCCTTTCCAAAATCCAGCACAGTTTACATCTCTGTTCCTTTAAGGCTTACAATTTTGTAGTCGTTATATTTAACCCATTCTCACTAGAAAACCTTTTGAAAACTCGTGGGTGGTCTAAAATGTCAAGCTTATTTTGGAGCATGTAAAGTACTAATTGGATATATTCGACAGCTTTTTGGGATGCGATCATCGTCTAAATATTACAGGATTTCTGTACTTTTACTTTGCTCCACTTTTTTAAAATGAGATCCTATATTGTGAACATAATTCTGTTAATGTCAGAGCAAATATCTCGGATGACATTTGCAAGACGTGTCGCTGACAGAAACAATGGAGCTCTCTTACTAAGCAGTAAAACATTTCTCACCATGTTGAAGTAGCCACGAAGTGTTGAGGATGGGGCTGAAAAAGTGCTGAGGTCTTTTCTGTTTCCGGCGTGACATGATGCATGGGAAAGTCTATGTCTAATTGGTTCATGGATTGAATCGTATTGAAAATCTCTCTATTTAAGGCTAAATTACAGTATATCTCATTGCATCAGTTCTGAGAAACAATCCAAAATCCATGTTTCACTTGTATAGAAAGTTACAAGGCCAAATGCCAAGTGCATACATGAGCAAGCAATGTCTCAAAAGTGAACTAAGCACTTGGCAAACTAAATCTCTGTCTATTCAGTGTCTAACTAAAATCCAAAGACAACTCTCCACCTCCTTCTCTCCGTTTCCCTCTCAAACACAGTCTCGGCTTGTTCTCTCTGCATTTGCATTCAAATAACGCAGAACACCACCTACTCATGCATATACCCCTCCTTTCCTTTACACCCAAGTTTTAAGGTGTTCCCTTGAACCTTTTTTAAGTCTCAGTAGTGAATATTTAACCATAAGACACCAGGTGAAACCATGCACAGGTTAGAAACATTATTTAAAAAATCACATTTGAATGTGTTATTATGTAGCTTAGTGTAGATACTCTGTCAGGGGGCTACATGCATTCATAACTACCATGTTATAATATTAATAAATAATATCACATTCTTACTAGTATTGTGTATTTTAATCATTTCTTTTCATGTCAAACCTGGCTTTAAACTTCAGCATCTTAAAGAAATGCATTCAACAGGCCTGCATTAGTTAGAAAAGACCTAAATATTATTATTCATGGTCAACATCACTATATAAATTGAAAAAAATGAGGCCTTATAATACAACTTGAAACAATACTGACATTTCAGTTATGTATAATATAGATATGCATTGTTTTGGGGTGCTTTGGATAAATTTAAAGTCGATTGTATTAATTTTAGAAAACTGTACATCATACCCTGGATATATATATATATATATATATATATATATATATATATATATATATATATATATATATATATATATATATTCTGTCTAATAATAATAATAAGCAAATAAAAAACATTAGGCTTTCAGTAAGCAGCATTTAATCTAATGACAATAAATAATGTAATGATATATAAAAAAAATCACATGTATCAAAATATCACATGACCAGAGAAGACAATGCCTCAAAAAAACACAATATTTTTTCATTAAAATATTTTTCACGTCGTGATACATAACATAGCGTTTAGCTAGCATTTCGATTCCGGCTCGAAAACTCCTCGTAAAATTACTGTACAAATGTCATAATTACGTCAGCCAAAAGCACGCGGGAAGTACATCTCTACTGTACGCGCGACCTGTTGCGTCCTCCGGCGCGCGCTCTATGATCATAACCAATTATGATTCATATTTCTTATGACCACGCGAAATGCTCAGACGCAACCGACATTTTGGAGCATACGGATTGTAAATAGTACAAAGACTTACCAGAAGACGACGATATATCACGGCTCTTTGTGAAATTAGGATAGATTACGTCGTACAGTGTCTGGCTCGTAATATCACCATTGCTGTTCCGGCATTTTGCCACCGTGATGCGCAGTCGGCTCTGACAGCAGGCAGCTCGACATCTAAATTATTTATTTGCTGTACTGTCGCTTTGTACACTGTATTTGCTGTTGTCGTCGTGACTGGTCAATTCTCGCCCATTGTTCAGTGTTTGGTTTGATGGCACATAGCGATTTCGTAAAGTGATATTTCGCTAATCCTGTCATTCCCATAGTCCTCCCCTCCCTCGCGGCTCTGCTCGGCTTTCTTTGTATTTGGTAAAAATGGCCCTCTCCCCGGCCTGAGCCTTTGTTGAGCAGACTGGCGCTGCAGGATCGACGGATGTCTGTCTGTGAGTCTGTCGGTCCAATCCGGACGGTCTCCGCAGAGTAATTAACGAGTCGTGTTTGTTTTTGACGGCCTACTAACTGCTTTCGCTTTGAGACACAGAAGGTTCGTTTTTTAGATGACGTAATTTGATTTTTTTTTTTATAGAAAAACGCTCGTTCTCGCCCTAATAATGCCACTATTTGTAGGTGGCTTATTTGTTTGCCCCCTTTGTTATCTTTGGTGTTCATTCGTAGTTAGCAGTTATAACGTTAGCCTATTTAACTTAACAAGATAACTTGAGATTACTGAGCTGTTTAGTTTACAGTATCCTATTAACTAGTTGATAAAAAGGACTACAACTACCAGGAGGATGTAGGCTACGTTTTTGCTTGATGACTTGGACAACAACACATGTAGTCCTTTAAAGACAATGAGCATGGTAATCATAGAGATTTTCTTTACAGTCATCAAAATCATTAGGATCTTGTATGCTAGACCTATTTATTAATTTAAAAATGGGGCAATGATGTTTGTTTCTTGTGAGTTTAACCGACCACTGAAGTTGTAATTAATAATGGGAAAAACTATTGCAAATCAAACCCGTATTGAAGTAATGAACTTACACTGACAAAACACATCACAAACAGAAAGAAAATAAAATACTAAATACTACATTTAACACATATATTTAATAATTTAATTACAATTCTTATTGTTGGTTAATAGCATTTTGTAAAAATAATTTAAAATTTAAATATACTTTTGACAGCTTAATATTTTGAGATAATGTGAAAATAAAATGTCTCAAATGAATCTTTTTATTAACATCAAAAATATGATTGATAACCACTTAAGTTGTAATCAATATTTAAAATGGGAATAAACTATTACAAATCAATTCAGTATTAAAATAAAGAATTTACAATGAAAAACCGCATCCTGATAAAAGAAAGAAAATGAACAAAAACTTTTTAACAGATGCATTTAATAATGTATTGTAATTAAAAATACTTATTGTTAACAGTAAGATAAAAATAAGAAATTTATTTTCTAAAGAATGGGAAGCTTTGACAGGAATAAAAATAATAATAATGTTTTGCATACAAAAAGATAAATCCATAAAAGTCTTCAGACAACTTAAGTCCATTTGGGATTATATCTGGCTAATAGCATATTATTAAAATTATTTACAATTTAAATGTTTACAGCTTAACATTTTAATGTGAACACAAAATGTTTTCAAATGTATCTTTTTATTAACATTAGAAATATGATTAATTATACTGAACAGTAGATACATGCATCAATACTGAAAGGAATTAGAAAAGAACTGTCATAAATGATACAGACGTGGAACTTCAATTGCAATCGGAAATATTGTTTATAGTATTGTTTATATTATATATATGTTTAATATATATTTATTAAACATGTTTCATAATTTCTAATTAAAAAAGCTTATTGTTAAAAAAAAAGATAATAAAATAAAAAACTGATGCCCTCATTTCTTAGTTTTTTACCCCCAAAGATGGGCAAGTATTTCCAAACTGTAACGGAAAGCTCTAGTCTAAACAAATAGATGCAGTATCTGTGAAGCTGAGGAAATGCATTTGAAGACGAAATCTTCTAGTTTTTGTGGTTGTTTAGCTTTGACAAAAAAAAAATGCATTGCATACAGAAAGATAAATCTATGAAAGCCTTCAGACAACTAAAGTCCATCTGGGATTATATCTGTTTATAATCCCATGATTATATCTGGTTAAAAGCATGTTGTAAAAATAATTAACATTTTGAGATAAAAAATACTTAACATTTTGAGAAAATGTGAACACAAAATGTTTTTAAATGTATCTTTTTATTAACAATGGAAATATGATTGATTACTGTAGATAACTGCAGATACATTCATCAATGCATCAATATTGAAAGGTATAAGAGCAGAACTGCCTACTGTCTCGTACAATTTAATAAAAATTGTTCAGTACCACCCATAAATTTTACAGATGTGAAACTTTAATTGGAACTGTAAAGTTTTTTATTCGTAGAAACGAGTTTAATGCGGCCCGCAAGATGATTCGTACTAAATACTAAACTTAATTTCATCCCATCCAGAAGCCTAAATCAGCGTCAATTTGACAGCCATCTCAGAGAGAAAGACCTCATACCTTTTTTTTGTATCCGTCCAAGAAAACTAAACATTTGCAATCGATTAACCATTGGAAAATCTTCTCTCGCTCTGCACGTTTCTTACTGCTGGTTCTGTGTGTGCGCGATCTGTCACTCATACAGAAACTCTCACATGCTCTGCAGACCCATTGAGATGCGCCTTTTTTGCCAAAATGCATCCGACCGTAGTTTCTGAATCTCCTAAAATGTCCAATGCTTTGACACAGTAACACTGTACTTCAGTTGCCTCCATCTTGATAATTTTGTGTGATTATTTTACCTGTGTGATCCTGATTGTGTGGCGTGTTTGTTTTCGTGCAGTGGAAATGCAGCATACTTTCAGCCTGGCTGCTCAGGCTCTGGGACTATCCATTGAAATGTCTTCTGAATTGTCTTCAGTTTATTTTGAAAACATGGACATAGCAGCCGAATTTTACTTTACTGTGAGGTGGAACCATAATAAAGCTTCCTCTCTCTAACTTGTCTTGATGTGAAATGTAAGATCCGCATCCACTGTCACTCTCCTCTATTTCTTCTTCAACGGGTGTCAGAAGCTCTTTGTTTTGTCTGGCCATCATCTCCACTTTCTCAAGCAGCTCTCTGACCTGTTTCTCATCATCTTGCATGCTGTTTAGTACATGATATCTGCTTCCACATTGACGAATGAGCCACTGCAGAGCCTCTCCTTCACTCTCAATGTGCTCATCAATAGTTGGCGTCCCCATCCAGTCGCCCCTGGTGAAAACCACTATACAGTGACTCCAGACAGTTTGACCCAGGAGCTCCATGTGTGCTTTGATAGTGTTTTCATATGCTTCACTGAAGAACAGCAGACTGAAGAACCAGCAAAACTGCATGAGGTCCAGGTGAGCACAGGTTAACTCTTAACATGATCTCCTGCTTCACTGACTTTGGAGTCTTATAGATGCGTACGGCCACCATCCAGGAGTGTCTATTAAAATGACTTTTCTTTTGTCAACCTCTCCTTCTCTCAATACACACCCTTTAGTTCTGCTGACCTCTTCTCTAGTTTTCAGGATGGTGTTCATCACTGAGGTCTTCCCAGCCAACATGCGACCCATCAAAACAATCCTTTACTCTGGAAAAAATGTCTGCCGGTAAAAAATATTTAGGGTCATGAATAGTGCTAGCATTCAGTTCAGTCATGTTACATACATCATTACAGATTTTGTATAAAATCTATAAAGCTGTTTTTTTTTTTCAATTAATTTTTAAAGCAAAGGTGCATTATGCTAAAGCAAATTAAGATAAATATCTTAAAATAATTGTTTTGCAGGGATTGTGCTTGTCAGGTTACTTACTGTGAAGTGTAACCAGTTATAAACTTCCTCTCTAACTTGTCTCGGTGTTACTTGCTGGTTTCACAACCACTGTCACTGTCTCTATTTCTCCTTCAACAGGCACATTTATTTATTTATTTATTTATGCATGCTTGTATTTAGAATGTGTTTGAATGTATTTATACTTTTCTTTTATAATGATTTTATTCATAACTTTGTTCATATTACACTATAGAAAATACATACTTACATTTATTTGTAAATCAAACTCCAGTTGTCAATCTAAGACGCCTAACAACTTATCTGCATTTTACTTATTTTATGATGGAAATGGGTCACAACCTTATTATATTAAAAGAACCAGGAAATTCTGAAATGAAAAAAAAACTGTAGATTATTTTGAAGAAAAACTTATTCATTCATTAATTTTTCTTTGGCTTAGTCTCTTTTTCAGGGGTCGCCCCAGCGGAATAAACCACCAACCGTTCCAGCATATGTTTTACACAGCGAATGCCCATCCTGCTGCAACCCAGTACTGGGAAACATCCCTACATAATCATTCACACACACACTCATACACTACGGCCAATTAAGTTCATCCACCTATATCATATGTCTTTGGACTGTGGGGGAAACCGGAGCATCCAATGGAAACCCACGTGAACACCGTAGAAAACATTCAAACTCCACATAGAGAAGCCAACTGACCCAGCCGGGACTCGAACCAGAGGCCATCTTACAGTGAGGTGGCAGTGCTAACCACTGAGCCAACGTGCTGCCCGACAAATTTTTTTTGAGTAAATTGTTTTGATTCTTTTTTTTTTTTACATGTTCATTGGTGTACAAATTGCAAAACAATATATATAAAAATAATCATGGGTGCCTAAAGTATCTGTTAGTTGTATCCTTTAAAATCTTCATTCTGAAGGGCCCTTCGACGTGGTCAGTTTTTTTTGCACTTGGTTTTGAAACAACACATGGCGATCATTTTTGTTTTATCTCTGCAGTGTCCTTGGAGGGCAATAAATCCCATTTGGAACACACCGTCTTACTATTAGTGGCACTGCATTTGGACTCTGTATTACCTATTAATATGGCCTCTGAAGTGCCAAACAGTATGCAAGAAATTAATCTGTACTTTATACTTAATAATAAATTATATTTTTAGAGTAAAATGGGGAGGCGCAGTGGATAGCATAATAACCTCACAGCAAGAAGGTCACTGGTTCGAGCCTCATCTGGGGTCAGCTGGCATTTCTGTGTGGAGTTTGCATGCTCTCCCCGTGTTTGTGTTTCCTCTAGGTGCTCCGGTTCCCCCCAGAGTCCAAAGATAGCGCTACAGGTGAATTAAATAAGCTAAACTGGCCATAGTGTATGTGTGAATGAGTGTATGGATGTTTCCCAGTGTTGGGTTGCGGCTGGAAAGGCATTCACTGCGTAAAACAAATGCTGGATAAGTTTGCGGTTTATTCCGCTGTGGAGATTTTTATCAACATTTAAAGTTTCATTATAGTGGTTTTACTTGTTTTGGGCGTATTGTTTTCTACTTCTTTTGGAAAAAATCTGTGTACCTTCATGAGCTTTGGGTACATTATAAGTTTTTTATTGTTTTTGTAATAACCTTGGATGAGTAGCTAGATCACTATTTCAGTACAATATAAATATTGTAGCTAAATAGAGAAATTAAAACAAAATATATGATCCAGTGCTTTCTAGTCTATATCTGGCCCAGTGATTGTCCATGGATTAAGTTTACCATTAAAACTTTATTGTATTGCTTGATGGTTTTCCTGTGCTGTAAACATATACCTGTAAATATACTGTATATTATACTAACTATGTCTTTACTTTTCATAGCTGTCATCAGTTGTTTAAACAGAACGAGCAGGTGAATTCTCCACACCTCACACGGCTTGTGTAAAAAACAGGTCATGTGATGGCTTAGTAGTGCTCTGTGTTAAGAGGTCAGTCAGTCTGCTTAAGAAGACATTGCAGGATAAGCCAGCCGTCCCACATGCACACTCCTCCATGCTCACTTTGGCTGTCTGTGTGAAAACATCCTGCTCTACCTTGCACAGAAGACTGCAGGACACAACAGGTAAGCTTGATGTTTTCGTGTGAGTTGGTTATGCACTATAATGCAAACCTTGTGATTTGTAAATGACAACATTAATTCCGGTCAGGAGGTCACTGAGGAGTTAATCTCTTGATTTCCAGATGCCTGGGTCTGGGATTGTCTGCAGGGAAAACCTTAAAGTAAATAAAGGCTGATGTGTCAAAAATTAAAGGGGAAGTGTCAGATATCCGCCATCAGTGTTTCAGGCGGAATGACAAAAATACTCACTGATCACCAAAACACGCATCCTTTAACGTACATTGAACAGTTTCATCCCAAACTCATGCCACTGGTTGAGTTAGTATCGCTAAGATGAACCAGTTTGCTAATTTCTGATATTTCCAGGGTTTCAGTTTCTAAAGAACTAAACCTACAAACACAGATTAATAGCTTTAATAAAGATTCATGGAAGATTACCTCATTTATCCTGCAGTCAATTAGAAAAGCTTTCTAAAAATAGTTGATTAGGAGACAGATTAACTAAATAATAAGGATTAGTTTGTGCATGCCCAAAAGGTCTGTATTAAACTGTGTGGCACTTGACTTTTAATTAATATGTAGGCCAATTTGTTTCAAGGACAAATTGTTAAAGAGAAACGTAAACACTGGTGTGTTTGTGTTCAGCATTATTTTTTTACCACTAGGAATTTGCTTTGTTTTTCTGTGTTTTTTCTTCTATGTATATCGTAATTTACTCTACATTGATATCATTACTTGATTAAATGTTGTACTGTACATAAACTGCTATTAGGAGATTTCCTTCCCACATAGCAAAATATCTCTGGCTTAGCTCTGGCCCACACAATCAGATTTTGCTTGGCCCATATATGCAGCAGTGAATTATGGTATATGTCTGGGCCAAGTCTGGTTTCCAGACAAGGGCCAAACATGGACCATATCTGGGCCAATTCTCAGCCAAGTAAATAGCCCATAACTGAGCGTAAACTGGGCCAGCTATGTGTCACGACTGCAATAAAATTGATAAACCCAAGAATCATTGCGCTTAGGCTTGCTATGGATGTGCTTTTTCTCAAACCGACCTGATAGGAAGATTTTTTTTTTCTTTATTTAAAAGTAATAAAAATGTTTTTAAATGTAAATGTCACGTATCAATTAACATATCAGCCGAATACTACATTTTACTTCTGGCCCAAGTATTGTGCTGCCTTAAAGACGGTGCTACCTCTGGGGATGAATGCCTGCTGTGCCAGATTGTTTCTACTAAAAGGGATAGTCATGTACACATGTAAATTCACTCACTACTTTTTAACCATCAAGTGGTTCTTGAACACTAATGAAGATAAATGCTGCCAACCACTGACTTGCTTTCATTGTATTTTTTTTCTCTTATTGGCAGTCAATGAGTGCCAGCACGCAGCATTCTTAAAATGATCTTCTTTTATGGTTAACAAAAGAACACTTAAAATGCTGGGTTCCACACAATTGTTTTGTGTTGGGACAACATGAAGGAATTAAGTTATTGTATTTGTTTTTGCAAATTGAACTAGACTGAACATAAAACAAATAAGTTTACACCGCAGATGCCCTCCCAGCTGCAACCCAGCACTGGGAAACAACCATACACTCTCATTCTTTCACAGACACACACACACACACTACAGCCAATTTAGTTAATCCAATTCACATATAGCACATTTCTTTGAACTGTGGGGGAAAGCGGAGCACCCGGAGGAAACCCACACCCACATGGCGAGAGCATGGAAACTCCACTCAGAAATAACAACAGGTCCAGCCGGAACTCAAACCAGTGACCTTGTTGATGTGAGGTGACAGTGCTGACCACTGAGCCAGCATGCCGCCCTTAAACTAACATGTAAATATTATTTTTTGAGTGAAGGAATCACATAAAGGTTTAAAACCACATGAGGGGAAATAAATAATTTGGGTCATTTTTGGATGAAGTATGCCTGTAAAGGAGTAAATTCCCTATTTTAAATCTGGTTTTATCTCAACATTTTTTTTTTACCAACAGAGGCTTGTAAATAACACAATTTTTGTCAAATTCATTGACTAAACTGTAAAAAAAAAAAAAAACATGCTGGGTTCCACACAATCTATTTGTATTGGGACAACATGAAGGAACTAAGCTATTTATTTCAAATAAATATTTTGAACAAAGAGCAATCCTTAACATTTTTTTGAGTAAAGGAGTCTTGACATTTTTTATATATATATACTTTTTATACTAGCACAAACATAATATGTGAGGGAACAAAAAAATTACCGAGGAAAGGGGAAAAAAGGAAAATAAATAAATAAAAATACTAAAATAATGATGGGGGATTTGAGGTGTTATTTCTGAGGTTTTATTTTTAAGGGAAAGTCTCATCTTCTCAAGTTGCAGGCAGGATATCTTTTTTTTTTTTTTTTTAAGTAAAATCAGTCTACATGCCAAAAGAGTTATAAATCTAATAACTGTATGTTGATTTTAAGATAGATCTATGTCATCACTTACACCAAATTAACTAAATAAGGCCTGGGGCATGTTTGTTTACCCATCACTTCTGATATTAACAAAAATAACTGACTTGAATTTTTTTTATTGAAAATCTGTAATGTACATTTGACAAATATCTATTTTAAATTTGACCCTGTAGTAATACTAGTCACATTAAAGCATTTAAATTAATTGTTCACATTTAAAATAAATTTGCAGCTGCTATGGGCTCCTTAGAGGAACAGCACACGTGCCCCATGTGTCGTGATCTATTTGGTCGAGCTCAGCCCTTCCCCTGTGGCCACAGCTTTTGCCCAACCTGTGCACAAGAGGCCTGGAGTCAGAACGAAGGCTCTGGCAAGCGTAGATTTGTATGCCCACGGTGCCTGGAGGAGCAGGGAATGGTGCTGTGTGACTGTTGTCCAGAAGAAGAAGGCGATGAGGCTCAAGAAGCAGTGAAGACCTGCCTGAATTGTGAGATCTCTCTGTGTGAGCAGCATCTGCTGCCACATCTGCAGCGTCCTGCTTACAGCACTCACCTGTTGGTGGAGCCGCTGATGGAGGTGTCCCGCCGCAGGTGTCCGGCCCATAAGGAGATGTTTCGCTATTACTGCATGGATGATGGGCAGTATGTCTGTGCTGACTGCATCCTGGAAGGACAACACGCTCAACATCAGGTCAAAGGGGTGAGAAAAGTGGAAGAGGAGTATAAAGTAAGTTTAATGATAATCCAGTATTGATTACACTGCACTTTACACCAGTTCATTCATTCCTTCATTTTCCTTTGGCTTAGTCCCTTATTTGTCAGGGGTCGCCACAGCGGAATGAACCGCCAACAGTTCCAGCATATGTTTTACACAGTGGATGCTCTTCCAGCTGCAACCAGTGGTGGAAAGAGTACCGAATGATCATACTTAAGTAAAAGTAGCATTACTTGCCTAAAAATGTTGTGCAAGTAGAGTAAAAGTATCTGTTGTAAATATTACTCAAAGTATGAGTAAAAAGTCGCCCTTTCAAAAGTACTCAAGAGTAGTAAATAGTTTTTTATTATGCTGTTAAAAGCTGATGCGTTTACATGTAATTTGTGGATGTGTGTAAACGTAACATTCTGTAGTGCATTTAGTGATTGCCCAGCAGGCACACAACATCATAAGGTGTTAATATTAGGTTAGATTTTGGTTGTGATGTCAGGGGACCAAAACTTAATGTCTAGCCACCATCTATGGACAAAGTTATTTTGAAATGCAGAAACAACATCAAATGACGTTGATATTTAGTTGTTTTTAGGTTATGTTGGAAAGTGACTAAATCTATCGTCGAACCAACATCTTAAACCAACGTCATATTGGCGTCAAATATTGACATTTATTTGTCAGGTATGGCAACCAAAATCCAACATCAGATAGAGGTTTTAGTGGTAACGTCCACACAACGTCGAGCTGTAACATCACTAGACGTTGATATTGGGTTGGTATTATATTAGATGTTGGACATTGTGTCGGCCTGACGTTGAGTTCTGATGTCAACCTGATTATAACGAACAAAATGCAACGTCCTCACGACATTGGAGTACAACGTCAATCTGACGCCCTGTTGACGTCTTGTGCCTGCTGGGTGTTTAAGGCCATTTCGGTCATCATACAGTACTCATCCGTCATCTTTTCATCAGTGACATGCATCTAAACTGTCTTTGGGTCAGTGCGTGTAAAGGTTTTAGACATCTTCTTGGACATTTGTAATGCTTCCAAACAGTTTACTGTAATTATAAATCGCCCATGTCTTGAGGTAGTTCATTATGATGCGATTTACTTTATGTGTGATTTGATTTGACAGGAATCATAGGACAGATTCTTTTAATCTCCATAGACAAGAAAAAATAAAGTAGTGACTGCAGGTTGAAGGAAAGTAGTGGAGTAAAAGTACCAATACTGCACTAAAAATGTACTCAAGGGAAAGTAAAGTACACATTTTTAAAACTACTTTGTAAATACAATTTCTGAGAAAACCTACTCAATTACAGTAGTTTGAGTATTTCTAATCTTTTACTTTACACCACTGGCTGCAACCCAGTACTGGGAAACACCCATACACACTCGCATTCTCACATGCACTCATACACTATGGAACTACACTAGTTCATCCTATTCACATACAGGCCTGCCTCACGTCTTTGGACTGTGGGAGACACCAGAGCACCTGGAGGAAACTCATGTGAACGCGGGGGAAACGTACAAACTCCACACACTTCATTGTTTAAAAAATATTTTTATTCACACAAAACAGCAAACCTAAGCAGTGGAATATGAAAGATACATTTTTACTATCAGGTTAGATGTCATATTTAACTGTGAGACTGTGAGAAATACATTTACAGTCTTTACAATAGCGTACAGTAGAAATGTTCTAGAGATTTTTTAAACGTTTTTTTTTATTTTAAAGGGTTATTTTTTTACTTTAATGTTTTTTTTTTTCCTAAGGAAAGTTTTAGCTGAGCAATCTTTTGCTAAATAACAAGCTGCTGTTGAACAGTTTGAATATCTATTGCCTTAATTTACTTATTAAAAACTTCTCAACTACTTTTGGTACTACCAGCTGCTTTATGTTATTACTTTAGCTGTACACAAAATGACAAATCACTAACTACGTTTTGCTTTCAAATTCTATCTGGTAGCATCAGTTATGTTATGTTTAGTTATTTTTTGTTATTTTTTCAATTTACAGGTAAAATTGCAGAGCCTGTTTGAGAAAGCAGAAGAAAAAATAAAGCAGGGTGAAATGATGCTAAAAGAACATCAGCGCGCTAGTCGAACAATCATTGTAAGTTCAACAATCTTTAGTGTTTTAAATGATTTGTCACCTTGAATATAAAGACTGCAGAACTGCTGAGTTAAAAACAGGGTCATAATGAAAAGTGAATAAAAAATAGGAATGTGTCGTTACAGCACAAAGAATTCTGGAAATGTAGGAAACGGGAACCTTATGTCCATTTATCTGTATGATTTATTGTATTATATGTACACTAATTACAAAAAAAACTGCACTCTCAGAAATAAAGGTACACAAGCTGTCACTGGGGTGGTACCTTTTCAAAAGGTACAAATTTGTACCTAAAAGGTCCATATTAATACCTCAAGGGTACATATCAGCACCTTAAAAGTATAAAAGTGTTCCAAATCTTTAGGAACTAATATATACATTTGAGGTACCAATATTTATCCTTTAAGTACAAACATGTACCTTCTGAAAAGGTACCACCCTAGTGACAGCCCAGCTCGCGTACCTTTATTTATGAGAGTGTGTAAGTTTTACACTAAATAAAGAAGAAAATTGTTTTCATTTTCTTAAGGTAACCCATTGATACAGTCTTTTACAGAACAGCTTGTTATTTGATTCTCCTCTTCTGCATTTGTGCTCGGATTCTCTAGTTCAGCTTTAGCATTGGGGACAGAATGCTGAATGCCTTTTTTCAGCTTCCCAGACACACAAAGAGTGTTTATAAAATATCTACACATTTGTTCATTTTGTTCAGAATGTTTGTAAGATGTTTTTCAAATGGTAATATTAAAAAATGTGGTGACAGCTTTGGTTGACCTTGTTGCCCTCCAGAGCATGTCTGAAAACAACGCACTTGTCATGATGTAAATTCCCATTCTCTATTGATTTTAATGGAAACTATAATAGCTTGCATGGTTCTGCACTCATAATTTCTTTCCTTCTATTGGTGGAATCTTGAAAGAAATCCTACAGAATCCTAATGGAGTATTGGTGCTGGTTTAATTGATCAAATGTATTGTTTTTAATTTGAATTAAATGTAAAAAGGAAACCATTAGAAAGTCTTTCATGGTATGTAATGTATGATTGTTTCTTTAAACTTTTTCAGAGCTCACACTGTAAAAATAATCTGTTAATTACAGTTTGTGTATTTTGTTATTTGCAAGTTCTTCATGTTTATTTCTGGTTTTGGATTGCATTGTGGGACCTTGATCTCTGCTCTGTCAACTTGTTGTTGAAAATTTAACTCTAAAGTTTAACAAAGTGACTTTTATTGACATTTTAGTAATGTGAAATCATATTATATATAAGAAATAATATATAAGTCTATAAATAACAAAATATACTAGCAGTTTATTATAAAGTTTTTATACTGTAATATATAACAAGAGCAACCCAGACATTAAATCACTAAACTATTAAAAATGTTAATAAAAGTCACTTTGTCAAACTTTTCAAGGTTAAAAGTAGTTGGAAGAAATATAATATGGAATTCAAAAGCCTAAATAAACAGTGGAAAACAAATCATAAAAACATGAATCACAAAATACAGAAAACTGCTAATGTACAGATATTTTTAAAGTGCAGCAAGAGCTGTACGCAGGATCACATGTTTTGTGCGTGTGTTTCAGGAGGACTCCTCTGTGAGTGACGTCTCTCAGGTGTTACAGATGGGCTCAGCTCTGCAGGCTCAGGTGGGCCGACTGGTGTCTGCCGTGATAAAAATCACAGAGCAGGAGAGGCAGAAGGCAATGGAGAGAGTGCAGGAAGACTGCAGCAGAGTGAAAGGAGATCTGAATCAAACTGAGAGCATCCACCACTTCCTCGGCTCCCTGCTGGAGGAGAGCGACCCCTTCCTGCTAATCTGGGTACTAAGACATTATTTGCTAGTGATGTGTGAAGATCTAAAGGAGGCAAAGTGTTCATCACACCCCCACCATTATGTTAGCACATTTCCTAGATAAAACACATACAATTTTAAAAATAAAAGGTGCCAACAACAGTTCCATGGAGGACCTTTACCATTTGTGAAAACTTTTTATAGACTTTTAGAAAGAACCGTACAGGAGCTGTCACTGGCGCAGTATGTTTTCATATTTGTACCTGAAAGGTCCATAACGGTACTTCAAAGGTACATTTAGGGACTAATATGCATCCTTGAGGTACCACTATGGACTCTTTGGTTAAAAATATGTCTTTTGAAAAGGTACTGCCCCAGTGACAGCTTAAACCTTTATTTCTGAGAGTGTATCATGAAAAAAGGAACTTTAGAAAATATTGATCAATACTGCAAAAACCCTCAATTGTATAAAATTCCCCATATGCTGATGATAAAAATACTATGATTGTTTTAAGCATGTACACTCAATAATAAAAGTAAAATAAAAAAAACATTAAATGACTACAATAAAACAATCTAAATTTTTGTCTTGATTTTATTTGATAGTAAACCTTTTGTTCAACAAGTCAAGAAATATAATAGATTGCATAAAGACGATAGAATTGCAAAATTACAGTTTATAACACTTATTATTGGGCGAGGCAGTGGCGCAGTAGGTAGTGCTGTCGCCTCACAGCAAGAAGGTTGCTGGGTCGCTGGTTCGAGCCTTGGCTCAGTTGGCGTTTCTGTGTGGAGTTTGCATGTTCTCCCTGCATTCGCGTGGGTTTTCTCCGGGTGCTTCGGTTTCCCCCACAGTCCAAAGACATGCGGTACAGGTGAATTGGGCAGGCTAAATTGTCCGTAGTGTATGAGTGTGTGTGTGAATGTGTTTGTGGATGTTTCCCAGAGATGGGTTGCGGCTGGAAGGGCATCCGCTGCCTAATAACTTGCTGGATAAGTTGGCGGTTCATTCTGCTGTGGCGACCCCGGAATAATAAAGGGACTAAGCCGACAAGACAATGAATGAATAAATGAATACTTATTAACCTTTTTGAATGCATCCAGAAGGCATTATGAATCTATCAATCTAATAATTGCAAACATTAAGCCATTCACAGATTTCATTATGATTACAAGTGGCTTAAAAAATGCAAGAGACACTTCTGCATCTGTTCATAGTAGTCCTACTTTTCGCAGGCATTCCAGACAGAGGATTCACAGTGAGTTTTTAGATCAACTGTAATTGTTTCAGTGAGTGTTGTAGAAATAGCTTGTGATTTGTAAGTGCAGTGGGATGGTATTAGTTTGCATATGAATTCACATATACAGTGCTCAGCATACACTCAAAACAATAACTCATTATATGAACTCAATTTAGCTGAGAGCAGGATTTACATTGAATCAATTTGTTTAGCACCTACTAAAAAAAAATATTTACACAATTAAATGCAATTTAGTTGGTCCAACATAATGTTATCAATTAAAAATTTAAATGCTTCTGTATTTTTAACCTAAACTCAAAGGTCTAATAATATCATGTCTATTATTTTAAGTTATCCTAAATTGACTAAGAGAGCCAATTTTAAGCGTATTTCATGAGTTACATATTCAGTTGTTTGAGACTGACCTTAGAACCAATTTTAGGGCAATTATTGCTCACAGCAAAGCAACAAACTGCTAACAGTATTTGCTAATTAAGCTGCCATCACCCAAAGCATGGCTGCTTCTGCATGGTGGTAATCTCAAAAAACTCAAAGCTTTACATGAAACTCCTCTAAATCTTTAAACTAAAGTGAAGAATAAACTCTAACAAGTATTTCTATTAACTTTGAACACCTAAGATTACTTATTGTCAACATTTCCCTCTCTTAATTCAATCCCACGCAAAGCATGCTGGGAGCTACAAATCCCCTAACCAGGTAGTTGGACCAACACAATTCTTTCATGTTGTCCTAACACAAAAGACTTAAATTAACTTAATGATTTACAAATTTAAGGGGACTGAATGAAAAACAAATAAATTGGCCAAATAAATGACAAGAATTGTGTTGTTTCAGCTCATTTCAAACAGCTAGTTTAATCAAGCAGCAGTCATCATTTTTAAGTGTATGTGAACACCCCTCACAAATCTCTCTTTTAAACTCTTAAAGCTATACAATATTATAATATTTGTGCATATACATTAGATTAGTCAGTACGGAAGCCAAATCTGGAGCTTATCTAACAAAATAACTTACGATAATGGTCCAAAAACTAGTAAACCTAAATTTATGTTGTAGAAAAAAATTAAATACAAATTTTTAAAAAAGGAAAAATCAAGAAAAACAAAAACAAAAAAAATTAGTTGAATTTATATATTTTTTTGCAATATTTTGCTTGAATTTAGTTGTATTATCCTTCAATTTCTAAATATGTTTGGTGATTAAAATATTATTTAAAAAAATATATCTGTTTAATAAATCTGTTTAATGCCCCAAAATACACTGCCTATATTCAATGAGAAATGGATAGAAATGTTCATTTTTAAAATGGGGTGTACTCAGTTTTGCTGAGCACTATTTGTGTGCATGTGTATGTTTTACTGTATTCGCTGTTCTATTCTGTCTTGCAGGATGATGTCAGATCTCAGCTCACCTCTGTTCACACCAGCGCAGCCCAGCATGGATAAGAAACGTGTCTTAGAGAATGTGGAAAATAAATACAGAGAGTTCATAGCTGACACTCTGCGCTGCCTTATTGAGCTCAAGAGAGATCTCTGTGGGTATTATCATTCACACAGTCCACAATATACACTGACCACAGGGATATTTTGATTTTTCTTAGTAATATAATCAATAATGTTGATTCCCAGCTAACTTAAGTGTGATCATCATAATCATTTTCAGTGTAACCGCTTACTTAAAGGGATAGTTCACCCATAAATTAAAACTTTCTTACTGTTTACTCTTCCTCAAGTGGTTCCAACTGTTATTTTTTATTTAGTTGAACACCTGTAAACCAGTAACCATTAACTTCCATAGTAGGAAAAACAAATGAAGAGTTCAAATGCAAAAACCTCTAAATGCCGTCCGAAATGTCCTCTTAAAATGTTTCTCAGCCTCCTATGTTTGTGTTCAGTTATTTCACTTTAAAGGCAATGGTACTAAGAACTTATTATTCACTATAAAAGTAAAATTAGTCTATACACAGGAGTCAGAGAAAAAAATGCTAATTTTAGAAGAAAATATTAAATGGCATTTGGAGGTTTTTGCATTTATTGAAATCAATGTTTACAGATTTTCAGCGTTCTTCAAAGTATCTTTTTTTATTTTTTATTAAGTGCAGGCTGAGTAAATGATAACAGAATATTGGGTGAACTATCCCTTTAATACTGTATTTGAGTGCCTCATTTGCCTTGTTCAACAGTGACATCTAGTGGTAACGTTTCTACTCGCTGTTTCTATGTGTTATTCAGTAAGCAGCCCATTAACCTTGGACAAAAACTCAGCTCATCCTCTTCTTAACATCTCTGAAGATCTGCGGTCAGTGAGGAGGGTGCCGAACCGTTTGCCTGTCCCTGATCATCCTGACCGCTTCGACCACTGGTCTCAGGTGCTCTCCTGTCAGATATTTTCTTCAGGGACCCATTACTGGGAGCTGGAGGTGGAGGGTTTCTGGGATATAGCAGTGACCTACCACTGTATTGGGAGAAAAGCAAAAGAGGGCACGGCCTTTGGCTGCAACAAGGTAAATAGTGACCCTAAAACAGGGTTTTCTATGTCTTTCTCGAACTACATAGCAATAGAAAAGATTAAGAGATAGTTCACAGAAAATTTGAAAATTATGTCAATAATAAATTACGTTTATGTCATTCCAAACCCCTAAGACATTCATTCATCTTCCAAATACAATTTAGGATATTTTTAATGAAATCTGAGAGCTCCTCCTTCTCTATAGACATCAATATACCGACTTGGTACCAAAAAAATAAAAACAAAAAAAAATCCTCAATACAAACCATATGCCTTTAGTGGTTCAATCAGAACATAATCACACTACGAGAACTGTTTTGTGTGCACATAAAACATAAATTAAAACTTTATTAAAATCCTATTTTCTCAGAGTCAGTATAGGGTGCGCATTTATGAGAACTGTGCACTGATGTATAGCCCGGATTACTTTGTGTGACTTCCTCTGAGTGAAACAAAGCACATGTACATCCGAGGCATCCGACGCACATAAAGAGCACAGCAGTCCATTAAAGGAGCACCCTATACTGACAGTGAGGAGAAGAAACTGTTGAATAAAGTCACTATTTTTGTTTTATGTGCACACAAAAGTATTGACTCGATTATATTACCTTTCATTTATTCGTTTTCCTTCGGCTTAGTACGTTTATTCATTAGGCATTGCCACAACAGAATGAACCGCTATCTTATCCAGCATATGTTTTACGCAGCGGATGCCCTTCCTGCCACAGCACCCAGCACTGGAAAACACCAATACACTCTCATTCAGACTCATACACTACTGCCAATTTAGTTGGCAGTAATCCACCTATACCGCATGTCTTTGGACTTGTGGGGGAAACCGGAGCACCCGAAGGAAACCTACGCAAACACGGGAAGAAAATGCAAACTCCACACAGAAATGGCCCAGCCGAGGCTTGAACCAGCGACCTTCTTGCTGTGAGGCAACATTTATTACCTAAGTATTATAAAAATAATAATATACCTTAAGGATTACCTTAAGCATTAGCTTGATAATATTCCAATTGAACTACTTAAGGCTCATTGTCTGTTTTGAGGATTTAGTATTTTGGTCAGAGCTTTGCTGTGTATGGAGGATGAACTCTCAGCATCTAAAATATCTTGATTTGTGTTCTGGATATTAACAAATGGAGAGTAATTAATAACAGAATTGACATGTTTGGGTAGACTGACTAACTAACAATTTTAAAGTTGTTGTTAATTTGACATTTTATGGTTATTCTTTCATAAATAATGTCTTTAGTTTTTTCTAATGTTTTATTGTCTTAAAATAATGTAATATTCCAATTTTAAAATGGTTTTAAAATGGTAGTGAATCAAACACGAGTTTTCAAAGCTCCAAAAAAAATAATGCACTAATCATCATAAAAGTTTAACTGTAAAGTTTAAAAAGAAGTTTAAGCCTCTACCGCATGGTGTTGCAAAAATTTATGTTCATTTCCCTGCCACTGTTTCTTTAAGACCAACATTCAATTTTTTTTTTTTTGGAAAGAGAACACCTTAGTTTAGCCAATGATGTGCTTTGGTTAAGACTTCTGCCGTTTATTGTGAGTAGTAGCTGAATGCAAATGAAAACATCAATAAAAACAAAGGATCAACTCATTTCAGATCCACAAATAATTTTCACAGCTCAAAATAAGGTTTTATTAAGTTAATTTTTTTGTAATTAAGTCAATTAAATTAAAACAAACAACATTTCAAAAAAAAAAATTATTAATTATAAGTCTAAATGTCTAAATGTCTAAATTAGACATTTTTAAGTTCACTATTGGACGTTGTTGCCATATGGCAACATATCATGAAGTACCTTAAAATAAAAAACATTTTCCCCCAACTATTTATTTAGAATATATTATTTATAGATCTATCATAATTTGTGCAGTAGAGGATTAAGGTTTAACAACTTTATTAATCTCACCAGGGCAATTCAATTAGGGCAGTGGCCTCATAATATAACACCTAAAAAGACAAATCACTTATAAACAATATTAAAAAGCACAGTCCAGCATGCTTCATAATAACATCATAAATAATACTACAAAAAAATAAAGCAATAAGGAAAGACCCATACACTAAAGGTTTAAACCTTGCTAAAATGTAAGGTTATAGAGCCTTATTGCCTCTGAAACAAAGGTAAATTTATGTCTATAGAAGAGCATTTAATGCTTCTAAACCTTTGTCCAGAGAGTAACAGTACCAAAAAGGCTTCAGAGGTTAAGAATCATCTCCTGTCACACTTTGAATTTTCCTTATCATTTGCTGTTCATGCAACTCTGCTAGACTCTTTTTTTCTCTAACAGAAAGTGAGGAGAACCAGCATGAAAAGGAAAAGCTTATTATACTTTCAATATAGATAGTATAAAAAGTTCTCAGTGTGTTCTCAGGAGTGAATTTTTTTTTTTTTTATAAAACTATTATCATGTAACACTCAATGGTGAGCATTTTAGGGATCCTTTCCTCCTTTAATCCATTATGTGTTTTGCATTTCTGTAAATGATTATAAGATTAACAAGTTTGTTTTAATGTTAGATATCCTGGAGCCTGACACAACAGCATGACAGGAAACTATCAGCCTGGCATAACCGGAAGAAAACACACCTCTCTGCAAAAATGTCTGGCAACCATTTAGCAGTGGCTCTGGACTATGATTCTGGCTCCATCACCTTTTCAGAAGTCGGACCATCTTCCACCCTGCTGCCCCTTCATAATTTTAGTTGCAGCTTCACCCAGCCCATCTGCCTCGGCTTCGGCCTTTACAAACCAGAACTAAACAGCAAAGTCACCATCCTCAAGAAAATATGACCAAATATGACGAGGACTGTCACGAAGGGTTTTTATGTTTTGTTATGTGGCATATGATGGCTAAAAGTTATTTCATTTGTCAATAATCAACAAATCTTTCAATTTTACACTTTTTATAACCATAATGTCAAACCTTTATCACAAGGTTTTTTAATCATCACATTTTTAAAATAATTGTAAGCTGAATCAAGATCAAATGCATCTTTCTCCATAGACAGCCATACAACATTTACACAACAATATTTCCATTAGTGTAGTAGTAGATATTTTGTCAGTGTGCATGTGTGAAAGTCCTTCCCATCACAGCTGGTAAAGGGTTTGGGGTAGTGTCCATTCTAGTGGTGACGTCAGCCAATCAGCGCTGTTAAAATTAGTCATTTAGTAGTCATATGATTAGCTCAAACAGTTCTGTCCTACCATGAGCAAAGATGGCCAAATCACTTCCCTGCTGATAAACTGGCACTGAGATGAATGGAGCTGCGCATCTCATTTTCTTATAGACTGTTTTTTGTCTGCCTTTGTTTATAATTAATAAAAAATTATTAATCTTAATGACGGCTTTATATGAAATGCATGAACAGTTCATTCCTGCTTTAATTGATTTTATTTGTTGTGATCGATTGATATGTGTGAAATCTGGAAAATTTTAACATATTTTAATTAAAAACCAACTAAATTCTCGACTCTCCTCAGTCTCATCTCTATATGTGATAATGCCGATTTAGGGGGTTGTCAGGGATTGCTGACACAGCTTTTCGAACATGGACAATCAAAGGCCTCACAACATTGCAAGGACTATTTGATGGTCACATTTTATTTTACATTTGATCAGCTAGCAGAAAAATACAACATCCCACGGCAAGATTGTTTTTGCTTCCTACAATTAAGAGACTTTGTAAAGAGAGACACTACTTTGTTTATGAATCAGGAGACATCAGCTGCGGAGAGACAACTTATTCTATATCGAAGCAAAGCTATAAGCTCTTTTTATGGAATTCTTAAAGAATGTGGTACTTCAGACACAAAACATCAGAGAAATGGCTAAGATGTCTTAACATACAAATCACAACTGATGAATAAGAGAATGCTTGGATGAATGCAAAAACTTTGAGTATATGTTATAAAATCAAAGCAATACAGCTGAAAATATTACACAGAGCTCATATTTCCCCTTTACAGAGACACACATTTAGAAACAACTGCTCTTTATTGTGTCCAAATGTAAAGTAGAAAAGGGGATCTTGCTCATTGTTTTTAGTATTGCGAGGAAATCCAGAGGTTTTGGGCTGTGGTAGGTCGAAAGATTAACGCAATTTTGACCATTGATATTGTTTGTGACCCTTTGAGTATGTTGCTTGGAATACAATGTAACTCTATTGTGGATAAACATAAACGGCTCCAGTAGGCTCCTGACATTCTGTGCAAGAAAATGTATTTTATGATACTGGATAACAAAAAAAGCCCCTTTGACATCACCTTGCCACAGAGTTGTTCTAGAATATGTTTTTTAGACTATTTAACTTGTATTGTTCATGACAAAGTTTGCATATTTCATATTCTTAACATAAGTGGGGCTCAATATTTTTTCTATAATTTCTAGAGGACTTACATAATTTATGTAATCGTTAATGTTTTTATGTATACAGTTAAAGTCAGATTTACTGTATTAGCCCCCCTGAATTATTAGCTCCCTTCTTTATTTTTTCCCCAATTTCTTTGTAACAGAGAAGATTTTTTTTCACATTTTTAAATATAATAGTTTAAACAACTCATTTCTAACAACTGATTTATTTTCAAGACACTTCTATACAGCTTAAAGTGACATTTAAAAGCTTAACTAGGTTAATTAGGTTAACCAGGCAGCTTGGGGTATTTAGGCAAGTTATTGTATCGATGGTTTATCTGTGGACTATCGAAACAAAATATAGCTTAAAGAGGCTAATAATTTTGACCATAAAATGTTTAAAAAAAATTAAACTCCTTTTATTCTAGCCGAAATAAAACAAATAAGACTTTCTCCAGAAGAAACAATAATATCAGACATAAAAATGTCCTTGCTCTGTTAAACATCATTTGGGAAATATTTAAAAAAGAAAAAAAAATTAAAGGGGGGCTAATCATTCTGACTTCAACTGTATATCTGCCTTATTTTTCAATTAATATTGTAATTGAGTGTGCTTTATTTTCCGATTCTGTGTGCTTTGTTTATTTATTTGATCTAAATATTGAAAATCAATAAACATATAAAAGCAAAATGGCTACAGTTGTCAACATTTGAAGTGGATTGTTACCTTTCATCAAGGTTGTCTTTAAACATTACTGATTGACTTAGAATGTTAATTACTACTTTATTTTATTATTATTTTTATTATTATTATTTCTATATGGGGTAAACATGTTTGCTTGCCATTTTGTTCTATTTGTTTTCTGTTGATTATTAGATGTAAATGCCAGTATGATCATGCTGTTTACATCAAGAAAATATGAGGATAATATTAATAGAGAGAGAGAGAGAGAGAGAGAGTGAGAGATGAAGCTGATGGTGTGGGAGGGAAGGGGAGGGTCTTGAGAGACAGTATGAGTAAGAAGATCTGTAAGCTGTCAGATTTAGTATTTCTCTACTGAAGCTTTGCATCATTACACCTGGGATACAGAGGGACAGCCCACTAATTCAGGTGATTTTTCTTTTTATTCCTGCCATGAAAGCTTGTGAACTTTGTTTTGTCTTAGGGTATTTCTTAGAGGAAAGGATTTAGTAAAGGAAGGTTTAGTTATTTTCTTTCTAGCAAGCATTTTGTTTTTTTTCCCTGCAAAATGTATAAATATTTCCTGTAAAAACCTCTTGTAATCGTACAGAATTTTGAATATCGATTAAATTATTAGTTTATTTAGAATATTTTTAAATAAAGACAAAACTTTTTGCCAATATTGTGAGTAGAGTTAAAGATTTCAAGTCTTGTTACAATTTAGCTAAAGTAAAAAGATATTTTTGCATGAAATAAGAAAATAAAGATTTTTAAACAAGTTTTGTAATCTTTCCTGTGGGATGAGTAAATCTCTCACTTTCTATCATTCTATTCACTTAATAGTATCTAAATGACCAAATTAAATATATTAATAGCAGAATGCTGTTTAAAAAGAGTAAGGATATTTACCATGTTTAATGTGATTTAAAGGTGTAAAAATAGTGCTTTTAGATAACTTACCTCAACATACTTATTGTTAATAATAGTAATAAATCATGTGTTTTAAAATAATAATGTTGTGAAGAAAATAAAATTGCCCATAGCAGTGAACATCTCTGGACAAAATGAGTTCTTAGTGAAAGTGCACAAACACTGAGGTTTCACTCAAGACCAGACTCAAAGAAAGTTGACCTTTGTAAATGTCAACTGCTTCATAAAGACGATAAGCATGACTTGAATGATAAATTAATAAGGTAAACGGCACCAATTAAGACCTGGTTTTAGACATAGCATACCTTCATACTGCCAGATTTACGTTCTCGGGTTTCAGTGCTTGCGTATTGTTGCCACTGTATTGTGCCAAGGCTCTGAGGAGGGACAGGAGGACCGGCCAATCGAGGAACGAGAGATATAGAGGATCTGTGTAGGGGAGAGAGGTCCTGCATGTTGTGGAGCGTCAGGAGGGAAGTGAGAGCGTGTTAAAGACAGATGGTCTCTCAGTGGAGTTGTTCTTTTTTCTCTCTCTTGTTCTCACTCTCTCCTGGATGCTGCTCCACTCAGCTGAAAAGGATCCAAAGTGTTACCTCATGATCTTCATCCTTCAGTGCTCCTCTTCCTCCTCCTCCTCCTCCTCCTCACACACAGGCTTACCTGTTGGCTGGCAGACGTAGAGCTCCTTTCAAATTCTCCCCCTCTCTCTGTCTTCTCACAGGTTGCCTATGATGATGGGATTTTTTTTCGGGATGAGGACAAACCTCTAAGTGCCCTTGCCTTTGGAGCCCTACAGGCGATTTAACAAGATAACGCAAGTAGATTTTCGTCAGGGAAAACTGACAGACGGGAGGGTGACGAGTGAGAAACTGTTGGTGAAAGACAGTGCCAAGAATTTAAAGATCACTTTTCTACAACTTTATTATACTCTATACTTTTGTAAATAATTTCATCAGAGATTTTGGAAGTTGTAATAACATGACGATGCTGCCCGACTGTGGGCTCCATACGATAACGCTAGCTCTACTTCTTCTAATCGGTCCTCTAGTGGTCAGAGGGCAAAATGACACAGAGCCCATTGTGCTAGAAGGGAAATGTCTGGTGGTTTGCGACTCAACCCCCTCTTCAGAACCGGCAGGGAATGCGCTGGGCATGTCTGTGCGTTCAGGTACTGGTCGTGTGGCCTTCTCTGCCACTCGTCAGACCAACCACGAGCCCACTGACATGAGCAACCGCACCATGATCATCTATTTTGACCAGGTGAGCAGTCTTTTCACCTTACAAAACAGTTTTATGGAGTTTTAGTGATTAATTGACCAGTTTTCGACAGATCTTGGTGAATGTGGGTGGACATTTTGACCAGGAGAGCAGTATCTTCCTTGCTCCGAGACGAGGAGTGTACAGTTTCAATTTCCATGTGGTGAAGGCATACAACAGACAAACCATACAGGTATACATTTCCTTTTACCCATAAAAATAAAGGTTCATAAAGAGGGTTTACACAGTGGTGACAGAAAACAAGTGTGTGTAAAGAACTAAAGAACACTTTTCCACGTTTTATATGGTTAAAATGTACAATTCTGATATTAATTACTCACACTCATGTTGTTCTAGACCCCTGAGACCTTTGGTCATCTTCAGAACTTAATGTATTTAAGATGAAATCCGAGACCTCCCTCATCTTCTATAGGCAGCGATGGTCTCCAGATGTTAAAAGAACTACAAAGGATAAAAAAACATTGTCAAAACTTTCCTTATGACTTCAGTGACTCAACTGCTATCATACGAAGCTCCAAGAACATCTTTGTGCACCATTAAAACTGTAAAAACAGCTTTGCGTGCCTGTCTTCCGCATCAGATCAGGGTGCACGTTTACTGTGGGCAATATGAAGCTTGTGTTCTGCATTACTAACTCAATTGCCAATACATCCTATTGCCTATAGTAAACGCACACCCTGATGAACTGAGGGGGAAGAGAAAACATTAGTGAACATATTTACAGTTTTTTTGGCACACAAAGTGTTCTAGGAGGCTCGTATGATTGCAGTTAGGGCTGCACGATATTGGAAAAATTTTACGTTGTGACATTTTTATATATTGTGATATAAATACAATTTCACCAGATGACTTAATGTCTCTATTTGGATAGAATTTATAATGTTAGAACGATTGGGCTGATTCTGCAGCGGAATGCATCTCCATAAAGTCTGACAACACATTTTCATTGTGGTCTGTGCTATTTGCAATGTATTTCTGTATCTGCATGTATTGTATGTATTCTCATGCACGTTTATTCAGAGATTGATGATTTAATGTTCACTATGTGCATCTCCATAAAATCTAATAGACAAATCTATAAACTTTTTGGGGTCCCCCCGACACATTTTCGTTGTTGTTTGTGCAATTTCGGTGCATTTCTGTATTTGCATGTGTTGCGAGTATTTTCATGCATAACTATCTATACATACAATCAAGAAGAAGATACAACTGAAAGTGTCTTATCATTTACAGAGTCTAACAGTATTCAAGTACAGTAACTTCATGATAAAAATAATTCAATAAAATAATCGTAGTTAAGGTCAAAAATGATACAAATTCTTACATCTGAATGCTGTTAAAATCATTATACAATTCCAGGCATCAAAAACACATGTAATTGATAAATTATAAGGCAAACTCAACATAGCATATCCTGCAATGTGATTATTGCGAATGATCACATTACAATATCGATGCTGAAACGACATATTGTGCAGCACCAATTGCACCTAAACTGTTGAAGTCATGTGGAATATTCTGACAATATTTTTGTTTCCAATTTTAAACATCTTAGAACTATTGCTGTTTATGGAGGACGAGAAAGCTCTCGGATTTCATCTAAAATATTTTAATTTGTGTTCCAAAGATTAATAAAGGTCTCTGGGGATTGGAATGATTCGATGCTGAGAAATTCCATTTCTTAATGAATGAACTAACTCTTAAAAACCCTTTGTTGAATGAATTTGCGATGCCATTGACAAACCATCAATTTTAATCCAGAATTTTTCGTTTTTACAGTATTGGCATTTATGATTCCAAAACAATTAATTCAGTATTTCCATTGCATTCAATTTCTTTCTCTTTAACATTTTCCCTATTTTTTTTTTCAAATGTTCACACTATTGAGAAAAAAAAAAGTTTTCTTAAGAACTGCTCACTGAAAGGAGGAACCAAAAATGGAACTGTAAAAACTCACTTTTAGATCCAAATTTAGGATAATTAATACAGAGAAGTGACAGTTTTTGGCATTCGCAGGTGAGCTTGATGCTGAACGGATGGCCGATGATCTCTGCCTTTGCTGGAGACCAGGATGTGACACGAGAAGCTGCCACGAATGCTGGGCTTGTGATCATGGAAAGAGGAGACAAGGCTTACCTCAAGCTAGAAAGAGGAAACCTGATGGGAGGCTGGAAGTACTCAACCTTTTCAGGCTTCCTGGTCTTCCCCTTATAAAGGACAGCCATATGGTGAAGAGAAGAGCAGGGAAGTGAGAAGGAAAGAGAGATGCGTGCTCTTTGAAGATATATTTTATAAATCTTATTTGTTGTTTTGTTTAAACAGTTGTCAGAGCAGAGAAAATAAGAAGTTGCAAATAATTATATGATATTATTTATATTTAAAGATTTAAATTATTTATAATTATTTCTGAAGATTACTTGTAATATAGATATATACTGATATAAGTTTGGAAACATTAAGTTTTAAATAATTTTTTTAACTCCCCAAGAAATCAAAACCTACAATATGATTTTGTTTGCTCACGTTGCTAGTTTAGTGGTAATTCATGTGTGCATGTCATTAAGTAAAATAGCTTGCCCTTCTATACCTTAATTGAAATCTGAAAATGCACTTCCTGTATGTTTTCAGTTAAATTGTCAGATTACAAATATTTTAGCAAATGGGCATGGCTAACATACTTTACAATGCTGCTCCAGCTGTCAGTTTCGACAACAAACTGAAATTGAAAGGAGGAGGAGTCTGTTAGGTTGTAATAACTTTCCCCAAACCCTTTTCCTGATCTTCTGAATGAAATGTCTACTTTACTTTATCCATTCAGTTCGGAGTAGACAAACAAGCCACGCTCACTGTTGTGTCATTTAATATTCTGTTTATCTACGAGTTATGTCACAATACGAAGAAAACAATATGGTCAAAGCTTCCAGTTCTTGGGGTCTTTAAAGTTAATTCTGTTCATTGAGGCATTTATTTGATCTAAAATAAATAATAAAAGCCATATTGGGAACTACTATTTGAATGTAATGATCTTTCAGAAATCAGTTTAATATGCTAACTTGGTCATTTCATGTTAAATAAACTTGTTTTTTTTAACTGCAACAAATTACCATTTAAAAGTACCATATTAACACTGAAAATAGGAATTTCAAATATGACAGTAAAGGTATTTTTGCTGTTGCAACTCTTAAACATTATATCAAATAGATGCTGATATTTGGGACTTTTTCAAAAACAGAATTCCTGGAGGAGTAATCACTCTGTTTAGTAATTATTTTAATTAGTAATGCTGCTGAAAATGCAGTTATTTTAATGAATTTTTTATATTTATTTAAACATTAATTTCTAATTAAATACATTTGACTTAAAAAGCTTTTAAAAACATTAAAACACTTAACGTTTCCAAATTTTTCACCAGTATGATAATATAATTAAATATTATTCAGACAGATATGTGAAGAAATGTATTTATTAATTTGAATGTTTTTGAGTATTATATTTCAGACAGTATGTGTATAGTTAATCCAAAAACGATTACATAATAGGAAGATCCAATTGATCTGTCCTAATACTATATTTAACATGATAGGAAGACACAATTGAATGATCCCAATAATGTATTTAACATGATATTCCAATTTTTCATATAAAAAATCAGTTTATGAATTAACTTGTAATGTAATATATTAATAAAAAATCCTACTTGATGTGAATTTTTATTTCTTACGTTTGTCTATGCTTGCCTGCTTATGGAGCTATGTGTGTGTGTGTGTGTGTGTGTGTATTATAAAGCTTTAAAAAGAAAACTCATTAAATTGAATCTCTTAACTAAAAAAAATCTGCATCCCTCCTTATTCTGTGTACACTGAAATATGTCTTGTTCTCAACCTGTGGTAATTCTGTCAGCGAGGTGTTTTACCACTAACAGCAGCTGTTTGTAAATATAGATCTCAGCATCCGAGCTGGCAGGCTTGAGCAGGAATCATCACAGAAAGCAGCATAGGCATAATGGATAACGGATACGAACTACAGTGGCACCGGTCGAGCAAAGGCAGATGGAGTTTTTGGCAAGCAGACGTGCAAGTGTACACTGGACTCCTATGGACCATGCAGGGTGGGCTGTCAGAGTCAATAAGTTACGCTGCATTGGTTTAAAGACACACTTATTCACACATGCAGAACAAGCGAAGAAAGAGAACAGCAAAGATGAGGAGAAGAATGTGATAAGAAAACAGAAAGAAAGAATCACTTTTGGTTACTTTTTCTTAATTTTAGCAGTTATTTAATAATTGATCACTCTTATGTGGAAAAACTACTGTGACATTTTAAGAAAGTGGGAGAAACATAAAAGACTGCTGCTCATGATGGTTTAAATAAGTCATTTTATAATTTATTTAGATGTGAGTAATTTACCATTATTTCCCTTGCATATGTAATTCAGAAGTGCACTGCAAATTAATAAATAGTTTTTTATAAATAAATAATTTAAAAAATAATTTTAAAATATAATAGCATTAAAGGTATTTTAACAGTATATATTTATAGTAAATATTTATTTTCCATAAAGCCTGTTTGTTATGATTTCACATAACATAATTTATGTCAACATGTCATTTATCATTCATTTGCCCATCCAGTGCAGTGCAAATTTAGTTATTGCTTCATATATGTATTATTGTGTTATGTAATGCCTATAATATAAATATTTCTGACAAATTTTAGTATAGAGCCAGATCAGTATCAAAAATAAAATTTTTAGAAAATATAATTCATACGTCCACAACACAGTTTACATTTACAAAATCCAATTCGTCAATTTAAAACACGATTCAAAAATACATAAATCATATTTGTAAATGCAAAACACCATTCAAAAGTACACAAATCAAATTCGTAAATTCAAAGCACCATTCAAAAAATACACAAATTATATTCATAAATTGAAAACACAATTCGTAAATACACAAATCAGATTTATTAATTCAAAACACAATTTGTAAATACACAATGCCAATTCGTAAATTCCAAACACCAATTAAAAATTAATTGGTAGGAATTACCTTCCATACTGGAAGGGTATCCACTACATAAAACATGTGCTGGATAGGTTGGCGGTTCATTCTCCTGTGGTGACCCCTGATTAATAGAGGGACTAAGCTGAAAAGAAGACGAATAAATGAAGGAAGAAATGTATTTGTGAATAATTTCCTGTTTTAAAATGTGGAAGTACTGTTTGTTTTATGCATCAGCTGTATTTTGAAGCCATACTTTTTTTATTTAACAGCGAGAACCACAATGGAAACAAGCCCACGGCTTAATTGTGTTTTATCCTGGACAGTTTTTATTTAGTTATTATTATTATTATTTTATTTTTATATAGTTTTGGGATACTTATACAGCTTAACTAAAATCTGTCAAATAAAAATTTAATTCAATTAAAGAAAAAAACAATTCATAAATTCAAAACACGATTCATAATTTACACAAATCCAATTATTTGGTGAAAATGTTTATGATTTTCCACTTGTGAATTTATGAACTGTGTGTTGTATTTATTAATTGTGTTCTGGATTCAAAAATTGGACTTTGTAAATGTGTATTGTACTGCGCATGTATAAACTTCATTTTGTAAATATTATTATTTTTGAGACTGATCTGGCTCCATATTTCAGCAGCATTTTGCTTTTCGCTGGCATTTCATTTATACCTCTATTTACAATGTTTTCTAAATAGCAAAACCAAAAAAATTCTAACAAAACAGCCCCAAAACTGTCGCCTAAATTTATGAAGACATTTGTGTTCATAAACGACCTTTTCATTTAACACAATGCATCAATGTTTCATTTATTATCATCAAGCTTCATTTGGATACATAGCAAAAAAAACTAACAAAAGCTCTGTCAAAAAATTATATTTGCTCAACGTTTAAATGATTCGATATTATTTTTCCCTAAATAGCAATAAAAATAACTGAATCATCGCCATTTAATTCTAAGCAGCGAGCATCTCAAAACCCGGCGATAACAAGTAGGCCGCATTTAGCGCATCCTCAACCTAACTACCTGTACGACCGATACCCATTAATGTCTCCCGCCCTGTAATTCCGCACACCGGATTGATAGACAACTCGTTCCACCAATGAGACGTTTGTCTTTTGACAGCCCCTCTGCCAACCGACCAATCAGCGTACAGCAGATGAGATCGGGGCAGCGCGTTCGACCTAGCGCTGGCAAGAAGTTAGTTCCTGCTCTACGCTGGCCGTTTCCTGTAATCGTACAGTGTTGTGAGACGGAGAAAGCCATGTGTGTCGATGCAAAGGTAAATTTAGCACCCCGAAATTATTGCTGGGAAAGTTAGGGCAGTGGATGGCAGCGTTATTATGGCATATTTTAGTAGAAAATATGACCTAGCCAAGTCGAAACAGCTTTGCGGCCTTGTCCATGTCTGTTCGTAGTCGGGCTATGGTTTTTGTAGCACGTTGCCTTTGGTTTGGTCCGGTTTGTTGATGAGAGAGATTGAAAGAGAGTCCGAACGAGAGACTGAGATGTATTATGAATGATGGAGGCTTACTTATACACTTCAAATCGGCCGTGAGAGAACAACAAGACGATCGAGCACTTATTTAGCATTTATAGCAGTAGGATTCGCCATTGTGAACATTGATGGGGTTTGTCGAGTGTCTGGTTTAGGACTGTTGTTCCACATTGATGGCAAGGCAAGGAAGACAGAACTGCTTTATGTAATGTAAACGTCAAATATACGATTTGTAGATGATTTTGAAAAATAATGATTGGCAGAAAATACATATTTGCTCGTTTTCACTTTTTAAAACAACGTTGCGATGCATGCTAAGTGAGATACAAGTCAGTCAGACATGATGCCATGCGAAGTGATGGCAATGCCATTTAGCAGGATACAGCAACTGTGCCATTTGAATGTTTCAATTTAATACAATTCAATGTTTTTAATCTTTTTCATGGGTTCTTATCTTCTCCAGGGCATCAGTACACACATATATTGATGGATCTCTTAGTGTTCAGTCCAACCAGAGAACCGAAAAGTAACTCCAGAGAGTAGGAGAGGATAGAGGGGAGGAAGAGAGAGAGGCAGAAAGAGGGTGAACTGGTGGACTCTCTCTTTTCCTATTCCTCACTCCCTAATCACTGATTTCAGGTAAGTTTACCTGCTGTACTGGATACTTATTCATATGTAATGGTTAAAGTGTTATAATGTGTATGTAAATATGAGCTTGATGAAGGTGCTTGCAAAATGTATGGGTTTTAAAAATTTTAGTCTTTTCATGTTTCATTGACAAAAACATCTGTCATTCAAAACAAAAAGATTTTATTTGTAAGCATGTTTAAAAGCGGTTTATGTTGTTTTGCAGTTTTCTATTATATTGTTTAACATTTTAATTGTCATGGAAGCTGGCATGAAATTAAAACGCCAACCAACCAGCTGTCTGTCAAATGCTTAAAACTAAATAAAAGTATGTATCTTATAAGTATTCTTACCTGCCATGCGGGAGGGGGGTATCACATTGGGAAGCACTTTCACCTCACAGCAAGAAGGTCGCCGGTTTGATCCCCGTTTTTGTGTGGGTTTTCTCTGGGTGCTCTGGTTTCCCCCAGTCCAAAGACATGCGCTATGGGTGACTTGGAGAGAGAGAGAGAGAGAGAGAGAGAGAGAGAGAGAGTGTGTGAGAGTGAGTGTATGGGTGTTTCCAAGTGATGGGTTGCAGCTGAAAAGTATGTATAAAACATATTCTAGATAAGTTGGCGGTTCAACCCGCTGTGGCAACCCCTGATTAGTTAAGGGACTAAGCTGAAAAGAAAATCAATGTATCATATAAATATATCTATTAAAAAAGTTTTGGGGGTTATTTTGTATATACTGATGCATAAATGTAACAATAATATAATAAATATATTGTTTTATTTTTAATTTGGCAGCACACCTGCAGGATCCTTTCGGACTTGTTGGATGTTTTTGTACCGACACTGGATATCACTCTTTCTTTGCTTTTTTTCACAAACTTTTTGACAAGATGGCAGACCCTATTATGGACCTCTTTGATGACACACCACTGTTCAATTTGGACTCCCTGCCGGAGGATGCGTTCTCCCAGGGTTCCTCAGACCCAGTAGAGGAGGCGCTGAAGTTGGCATTGGGCCAAGTAGACCCTCCTACAGACCCCATACCTGACCCTGGTGTTCCTATTCTGAGTGACGTGGTCACAGATCCAGCTCTAATCCCAACTCCTGTCTCTGTTCCACTGCAAAACCTTCAAACTCAGCAGCTCAGCCAGATCCCCCATGAGGTCTCTGTTGCCTCTGCTCCCATTTCCATTCAGCCCTCCCTCTCGGTGGCCAGTAACAGCAGTGGTGCTGCAACAGTCTTGCTGAGCTCTTCTCTTGGTGTACCTGTGTCAGGGGCTCAAGTCACCCCTCAGCAGCAGACTCAGCAAATCACTGCTGTTACGCAACAGGCAGCGGGACAGCACGCCCCAAAAATTGTCATTCTGAAAGGCCCGCAGGGTCAGACTCAAGTGCTGCAGGGTGTCACAGGAGCCACGGGCTCTCCAGGGAAAGTCACCCTCGCTAGAGTTCTGACAGGGACCCCTCTTAGGCCCGGCATGGCAGTTGTTTCTGGAGGGACGGTATTAAATGCGACATCTCCTGCGCAGGGGCAGGTCAAAGTTGGCACTGGAGTACAAAGGCTGGTTCAAACTGCAAATGGCCCAATGAAACAGGTGTTACTGACCTCAGTGCCCCAGACGCAATCGCAGGTGCAGACACAGCCTGTCCAGGTGCAAATACCTGTGCAGACACAGCTGCAGTCACCATCGCAGCCGCAACAGCTTCAGGCGCAGATCCAGGCTCAGACACAGGTGGCATTACAAACACAAGCCCAAACGCAGACTCCTACTTCTCCGGCAGCAGCAGGCATCCGACCTCAAAGTGTCACACTTTCTGCAGTACCACAGCAGGTCAGATTTTAACTTGAATTATCATCATACAGACTAAAACCTGAATAAACCACTCTAATAAATGATGTAAACAACTTTTAAAACCACTTTAATAAATTATAGGGAAAATCTGATATTTGACATCTGATATCTGACACTTACATTTTTGCTTTAACTATTCAATCTAAGTATTCAATCTAAAGTAAAGTGCAAAAATAAAGGTGCATGAAAAGCTACATAGACATTTTATATTAACAAAAAATAAAAGCACAACAGAATATATAAACAGAACACTTAAGAATAACACCTAATGTCAAATATTGATAAACTGTTAAAGTGTTTCAATGGTAAATGAACACTGTTCGCATTGCTCTATTTAGTTTTTTCCCCCGCTGTCAGAGACCTAAAAGCCCCTCTTTCTTTTTCAGGGGGAAGCAAAGAGGATCACTCTGGTGCTACAGCAGCCCTCACAAGGTGGAGCTGCCCAAGCTGGGACGGTGACAGTAGGGGGAACTGCAGGGTCGGGTCAGCAAGGCCAGCAGCCCAGGCTGGTGTTGGGCTCTCTGCCAGGGAAGTTAGTCCTGCAGGGAGACCAGCTGGCAGCACTCGCCCAAGCCAAGGCAGGTCAAACGGGTGCACAGGCAAAAGTGCTCACTATTCAGCTGCAGGTTCAACAGCAGCCCAACCAACAGGGAGCCAAGGTGAGCGAAAGGACAGGGTTGGGTGTTGGAAGATTGGCTTTTACTTGTATCTCGCTGGTGACTTGAAGCTTTTCTTGCAACAGTTTCAGTTGGTTTCTGGGGCAGCAAATGCTGGTGGCAGTCCACAGGTGGTGCAGATTTCTCAAGGCCAAGGAGGACAAAGACTAGCAGTGCCCCTTAAACTACTGCTGCAGCCACAGGTAGAACATTTTTTCAAATCTCTTTTATAGTTCTGTGAACTTTCTCGGGTGTTTTTAACATCTGAAATAATGCTAATGTTTTCTCTCTTGGAGACTAATACATAAAGTGTAATAAAACCTAATAAATCTTTTATTATCAGTTCAACTGTCAAAATTAAATATTATTTGTAAGCTGTATGATGTAAAAACAAAAATGGATAATTGACAGTCGCTGTAGCACGTCATACATGAGTGCTTTTGTTTATTTACATTTTCAGATTGCATTAGGCAACCTTGATCTTTGCTCTGTTAGAATTTTTAAGAGTGACTTTCATTGATATATTTAGTGTTTTGAAACTACAGGTTTAAAACTTCAATTTATTTACAGCATCAGAAGTAGTTTGAGCAGAAATTAAATTCTTATAAAGCACCTGAACTACAGTGAGCTGTTAATTAGCATACCTTTTACACTGTTAGAGTCAACCATTGTCTTATAGTTACCTAGTGCTCTTTACACACCCTTTCATGCTAACAAGTACAGAGCTATCTATCTGGAATAATGGAATAAAAGTCGTTTCTATTTTCTGCAGTCAAACACTGTTTCCAGCGCTGGTGGAGCTGTCTCTGTGGTTAAAGTTATCAATACCTCAGCTGCTGGCTCGACGTCCGGCACCACCACTACAGCTGCATCTTCCGGGGTACGCTTGGCAAAGATCCAGGAGCCCGTACGGAGAGTGGAAACGCTTTGCAAGCAAGAGAAAGCAAATCGCATTGTTGCTGAGGCCATCGCACGGGCCAAAGCCAGGGGTGAAAGGAACATCCCACGAGTGCTCAACCAGGATGAACTACCTGCCGGACAAACCTCAGCAGACCTAGAGGGCGCAGGAGGGGCTACCGGAGCCAAGAAGAAAGGAGGAGGAGGAGTTGGAGGTGGTGGAGGTGGAAGCAAGAAGAAAAGCCCAAGTGCAGGAGGAGCGAAAATGGTGGTGGGAGGAGATAAGAAATCCAAGGCAAAAACTCCAGTTATACCTGGTGGAGGCAGTAAAAGCAAATCTAAGACTAAGCTCAAGTAAGTTATGATTCCATTCTCCCAGTTTGATGAGAGTTTGACTCACTGATATATGAGTTTGTTTCTTACTCTTGATCTCTTCTCCACAGCACCATCACTCTAGTGGGTAAGAAAAGGAAAAGAAACCCGTCTTCTGATCACTCAGACGTAGATCTCAGCCCACCTGTTTCGCCCCGCACACTGGAGGAAGAAATGTCACAGGTGTTACTTGCTTGCACATTTGCTTATTAGTGACTCACAGGAGCCATTGTAGGTACTGTGTGGCACTGTGTGGCAGAATCTTGTAGGGCAATTGAAGAAAACACAAACCTCATTTATTAACTCTGCTCTTTGATTTTGTCCTTCCAACAGAAGAGACGTTCAAACCGGCAAGTGAAACGGAAGAAGTACACTGAGGATTTGGACATTAAGATCACAGATGATGAAGATGAATTGGATGCAGATGTTGATGTGACCACAACTCCTATGCCCGCAGTAGGGCATGTCCAGCCTTTGGGAGCAGAGCTCCCCCCGGAGCTGGATGGGGATGGTCTTCCAAGCATGCAGTTTTTTGTGGTATGGAAGTACACTAGTCATAGCAATATCAATTGCAATTACAATTTTTCTCCGGTCATAAAATTTCCACTGCTTGCACACATAAACAAATGAATGTGTCAGTATGTGTATAACTTTGGTATGCCTGTCAACCTTTTCCTTATTTGTGTGGGTGTGTGTTTTGTGGTTTCAGGAGAACCCAAGTGAGGAGGATGCTGCTATTGTGGATAAAATATTGTCTATGCGGGTGACCAAAAAGGAGGCAAGTGTCCGTCTCATGCTTTGTTCTCATTCAAAAATATCTTGGCAAATCTTGCGCTTGTTTATACTGACTAAACCATTGTTTTGTTTTTTTCTTGTCTTGACGTAGGTGTGTCCAGGGCAGTATACTAATGTAGAGGAGTTTTTTGTCAAATATAAAAACTAGTAAGTATTTGCCATTTCCCTTCTTTTTTTTTGCAGGAGTAAATGTATCTCTTATATGGTATATCCTTTATCATTTTTTATATAGTTCGTACATGCACTGTGAATGGGCCAGTCTTGAGCAGCTGGAAAGAGACAAGAGGATCCATCAGAAGCTTAAGAGATTCAAGACGAAACAGGCACAAATGAGGAACCTGTTCCAAGAGGTAAGGCCTTGTGTACTTAAAAATAAGGCAACTCTGTTTTCTAATATAGAGAAACCGAGTGATTTTTGAGAGATGTAAACAAAAACAATAGTTCCAGCGTATTTCCTGTTTTACATTTTTATTATCTATAGCTTCCGAAAATCCAAAAAGAGCCACGTATTGATAAATAATGCTATGATAGCTGTTTTAATTTTAAGTTACGATTGAATTGCCTCTTGTTATAGCCATGAGATAGTTTGATAACAAGCATAAAATGTTCAATGACATGACCATATTAAAATGGTCTATTTTGTTGGTAGTTTTTGGTTGTTATTTTTTTCCAAGTGGCTTTGGCAGATCTTACTAAATGCATTCTTGTGGACTATGTATATGTGGTGTGTCTGCTTCAGGATGAGGAACCTTTCAATCCAGATTATGTGGAAGTTGATCGTATTTTGGACGAGTCACATAGTGTTGATAAAGACAACGGGGAGGTAGGCATTTATCAACCACAGACTCAGTTTTCAATTGTGAAACTGCTTAATAATAAACATATAATGCACAATTTTAATTATTCATTATAAAGAATAATTTATTTCTTGTATTAAAATGTATTGTTCTACTGTACGTTGCCAGCAAAAGTGTGTGTGGATGTTTGTTTTGTGCTATAACGTTTTACATCACATTTTATTTCAACTGCACACAAGCAACAAAAGCACAGATTCTGAATTCTATTTTTCCTTTTTACAGCCAGTTGTGTACTACCTGGTGAAGTGGTGCTCTCTACCCTATGAAGATGCTACTTGGGAGCTGAAGGAGGATGTTGATGAAGGCAAAGTGGAAGAATTCAGGAAGATTGAAAGCCGCCAACCACGACTCAAGAGAACTGTGAGATACTGTTTTGTCTGGCTCTTTCTCTCTTCTCACTGGATCATTTTTATCCTGCCTGTATTTTTTGGTTTTCATTAAGAAACAAGACGAAACCGTATGAATTATTAACAAGTCTTGCTCTTCCATCAGCCTCGGCCTGCTGCAAGTGCCTGGAAAAAGCTAGATGAGTCCACCGAGTATAAGAATGGGAACCAGCTCAGAGAATACCAGCTTGAGGGAGTCAACTGGCTGCTCTTTAACTGGTACAACAGGTAAATATATAGCTTATTCAACTTTTATTTGTCCACCCTTTACAATTGAGGGCATCCACACCTTTTAACAGTTTCCTTTTGCATTAAAGGTCCTTTGAAGTTAAAATAATGTTTTTAGATAATAGTATGACTGTTAGTTTTAAGAATACCATACTTATATCATCATATCATTAATATCGTACGCCTCATACTTTAGTTTCTCTTCAAATCTTCCGACCAATCATTAGCTCTCGACTCCTCTTCAACATGCTTTTCATTTGATGCGATCGATCTCAACCACTGACACCGGCAGAGCTGTGCTTAAAACAAAATGCTGTTGGCTGTTTTTTATATAAACAGGAGGAACTACTATGTCCTGTCATAATTCATTTGAGATTACGTCAAGTTTAAATGCACAGTTCAGAGCACTTCACAGGACTCATAAGTTGTGATTTTACAGAAGGTTAAGCTTTTCAGCTTTGAGGCTTCGTTAAACTTCTGTAATCCTAGTTGACAAAATAAAAGCATTTTTACATTTTCAAGCGTTCTCTTCCAGGAGATTGAATCAAAAATATTGATGATTCATTTCCTCTGCTCAGGGGTGCATAAAATGCTCTCTAGAGTGAGATTGTTCCCTCCTTCTCAATTATAAATACCACCTGCCACTGATCCAGCATTACAACAGTGAGCAGACAGTTGCTTGGCGATACACACCATAAGTAAATAATTTGACAGCCTACTATTTGGACACAACAACGGCCTCCTGGTAATTCTAGTGGGCGTCCTTATCAAAACAGTCACCCTGGGTTCTTTGTTTGAATTATGGCCTTACTCAAATAACTGATGCTGGCACATTTTTCTTATTACCATCTGAATCTGGCTGGACTGCAGGAGTAGGTGAAGATGTTGATGAGAATTCGCTGCAATTTATTATGAAGTCACCTAAATGATTCTGTCCATGATTCAATTTAGGCCTGATGTTAAATAAATTTTGTGGAGTCAGTAGTGGTTAATAAAGGGCAGATAATGAAAGGATTTGCAAAACAGCAGGCTACAAGTGTATGAGAAGAATGATGTTTCTCTTTTTCAAATCTTACACGGTCTGTTTTGTATTCGTGACTTCCCACACAGGCAAAACTGCATCCTAGCGGATGAAATGGGTCTGGGGAAGACAATTCAGTCCATTGCCCTGCTGTCAGAGATGTTTTCTGCGGGGGTCCAGAGCCCGTTCATGATCATTGCCCCTCTGTCCACGATCACAAACTGGGAAAGAGAGTTTTCGAACTGGACTGATATGAATGCTATTGTTTATCACGGCAGTCTGGCTAGTAGACAGATGATCCAGCAGTATGAAATGTACTGCAAAGATGACAAGGTTGGTGTATGAATTTTTTCTTTATTCGATTCGTTTGATGGCTACAGCAAACAAAAATCTCTTGGAGAAAAGATCTTGGGAATGTTTTAAAGTATTTTTGAGGAATATTGAAAGGAATATTCAAACCTGTAGATTTTGACTTTGATTTTGAAAACAGGGACTTTAATTGCTACAAGGTTGCATTTTCTTTTTTGTTTGTTCCTCTTTTACATGGCAACATTTTAAAGCATGTAAAAAGAATTAATGGTAAATGTTTGTACATACATTTTGCTTTCCTCTACATTGTCTTTTAAGATGGAGATGTTTTATTGGGGTCAATAAAAAGGTTTTTACTGTTCATTCCTGTTTTACCTGTAAAAATATAATTTAAAATGTTATATACAATGGAAACCAGTGCCTCATTCATGCAATTCTCAAGTTTAGAGTAGTTAACAGTTTAATGGCCTGTTTCCACTAAGTAGTACGGTATGGGTTGGTATGCTTTTATGGCTGTTTCTTCCACTGTCAAAAGGTACCTGAAAGCAAATCGTACCGTACCACTTTTTGGGTATCCTTTCCAAAGGCTACCTAGCACAACAAAAGGGTACCAAAAGGCGGAACTGAATGTTATTGGTTCAAAGAGATGCGTCACTATCGCTTGTACAAACCAGGAGAACGAAAACAAAGGAAGCGCCATTTTTAAAATACACAGCCAAGGGATTACTTCGTGATAATATATACATATAATAACGAGCCATGGTCGACCCAAGCTCAAACAAACCTTGTCGTCGACTTGATGAACAGCCACAAAGCCAAAAAGATAAACCATGCGAGAGTGAAGCACGAAAAAGCAAGAAGTTTGAAAAAAGCATCAAATGATTCTTTCAGCAACCTAAAACATGAATAAACTGCCTTGTTTAACTATTATCATCACCTTTTGGACTATTATGAACTCAGAATTATGGAATTACTCTCTAACAGAGCCTACATGTGCTGGTAAAGATTATAGACACAGATGAGAGGTTTGCACTGACTGGGGGCAATGTTGCGTGTTGTTTTAAACCAAATAAGGACTAAATGTATGCTGTGTGTAGTTTTTTTGTAATTGATAATATATTGGAGACTGTAACTGTCTGTATGTGTTCATATATGCTGCATTTATTTATTTATTTTATGCAATTGTGGACGTTGCAGAAGTTGCTATTTTGCACATTGATCAATGATCTGCTGTTATAATCAAATCATGTTCATCGAACAATTGCTTCTCATATGATATGTGAATGACCCATACAGCTTTACTTTGACATTTCCTCAAGCAAGAATAACGTAGACTGAAACTTTGTCGTACACCACTCCCACCAGAGGGGTATCCGAACCGACCCACTTAGTGGAAACGTGCATTAGATGATGTCCTCTCTTTAAGTATCATACCCTGTTTCTTTTATTTAACATTTCTTTAAATTAATTATGAATTATGATACTTGTTAATTCATTGGCCTTATCCAAACTTTTGTTTTAGGGCACGTCCAGGTGTGATTGCTGTGTTCATATATTTCTTAACAAACCAAACTAAGGGGGGGAAAAGCCCAGCAGATTCTGAAAGTTGAAGTACAAAAGTGTCTAAAACTCAATAAAAATAAAATAAACCTGAATGGAAAAAAAAAATCAAAACACACAAAGAAAACTTTAAATGAAAACATAATATAAAAATCTAAAAGTTACAGAAGTAATGTGGTAATAAAACAAAGCTAACACTGCTGAGCACAAGTTATACAAGTTCCTTTTATTTTCATTGCTCTATTCTAACTTCCCCTATTTCCACCCCCATTTTGTTTCTTTTAGGGACACTTGATACCAGGGGCCTATAAGTTTGACGCTCTGATCACAACCTTTGAGATGATTCTATCAGACTGCCCAGAGCTGAGGGAGATTTCCTGGCGCTGTGTAGTTATTGATGAAGCTCACCGTTTGAAGAACAGAAACTGCAAACTCCTCGACAGTCTCAAGATGCTTGAAATTGTGAGTTGTTAACATCTTTTTTTATTTTTAGCTTTTAGTTAAAAATAACTGAACACATTAATGTTTTGGTTACTAAAAGAAGAAATCATGATTATTCAAATTGACCACTCTTTCTTTGAAAAAATTTTTCAGGAGCATAAAGTGTTGCTTACTGGCACTCCACTACAAAACACAGTAGAGGAGCTCTTCAGTCTGCTGCACTTTCTGGAACCGGCCCAGTTTCCCTCAGAGATAGAGTTCTTGCGAGAGTTTGGAGATCTTAAAACTGAGGAGCAGGTAAAGAAATGCTGTAATGTCTTGGCAGGAAGTATTTCCTCGCTTGTTGAGCGATGTGACCGCCCAAATGGGCATTAGGAAATCTCAACATTCTGTCTCTATCTTTTATAATCAGGTGCAGAAACTACAGTCAATCCTGAAGCCCATGATGCTGCGCAGACTGAAGGAAGATGTAGAAAAGAACCTTGCCCCCAAGCAAGAAACTATTATTGAGGTATGATTGATCATTAGGACAGTTTGTAAATTGATTGTTTCTCTTTGCTTTGTAAATTTAGACTGTAAATTTTTGTAATCCTAGGTGGAGTTGACCGATGTACAGAAAAAGTATTACCGTGCTATTCTGGAGAGAAACTTCAGCTTCCTTAGCATGGGAGCCACACAAAACAGCAATGTACCCAATCTCCTCAACACAATGATGGAACTTCGAAAGTGCTGCAACCACCCATACCTCATTACAGGTACTGAATTTATGCTTTTTATTTCTGTGAAATGTTGTTTAAGTCAGTCTAGCATTACAATCTCCAGGGTCATGGGATTTGTGGAGTATCCTGGAATTTTTAAAAGTCTATTACAGACATTGAACGTCAGGGAATAATTTTTTTTCAATGAATATCAGGGATTTTTGTTTGTCATTTTAATCTCCTTAACATTTGTTTTTTCTTTACCATGTTTTTTATAACATTGGGCCCTATCATACACCCGGCGCAATGTGGCGCAAGGCGCGGCGCAATACTTGTTTGGTAGTTTCAGCTTGGCGCAAGAGTAGTTTTGAGGCATTGCGCTACGCTGTTTAAATAGCAAATGCATTAGCACTCATGTGCGTCCATAGGCGTTCTGGTCTCAAAACAAAGGGCGCGACGCAGCTGGCTCTTAAAGGGAATGGGAGATAAGACTCTAATTGGTTTATTCTCAAAAAACACCTATAACTCATTAAGAAAATAAACTCAACCCTTTTAGACCATGCGCCACGGCGCAAAGCGGATTTTCCTGTCCTTAAATTAGCAAAAATGCGTTCTGACACGCCCTGAAAGCGCTTGCGCCCTGCTTTTTGCGTTCTGCGCATGGACCGTCAAAATAGAGCCCATTGTTTCACATGTTTTGCCTATTGTCATGGTTAGGCCATTTGTCATTGCTGTTTTATTCCTATCCCTATTCCCAATCAAATGCAATCACTATAATGTATCTGTTAAAATGCTTTATGTGGCTATTTTGTGTCTGCTCAGTGCTCAACCTATTCCTCCTAGATTTTGCGTTAAAATTTCATATTTTTGAAGCTTAAATTTCTGATTTTTCCAATGCCTTATAGGCAATTTGTGCTCAATATTCACATCACAGGATCTGTAATGTGGAGTCAGGATTATTACAATTATTCCTTAATAAGGAATTATTGTGCATTTTGTCAATTTTTACAAAAGTAAGTTTTATTTATTAATGTATACAGGGCTCGAAATTACGACCATTTTGGTCGCATATGCGCCCGAAATTTTATCTCTGCGACCTTAAAATATATTTGGGAGCAATTGTGTTAGTGCATAAAATTGTTGTGCTAGACCAGTTTTTACTGCAAAATGTTTACCACATGCGCGGATTCTGGAGACATTCACGCAGAATGAATGTCTGCACTTGAGACGCGAAACGCAGCTCTCAAGAATGGTTTAAAACAGTTGTCATGTCTACTTGCTGCAGTAAACAAAGCCAAGTCCGTATTCTTGCCCCGCCTTCGCTTTTCTTATTGGCCCACTGCTCTAGCACTGAAATATCAGCTGTCAATTACTCAGTCAATGCCTTCTGGTTTGGGATGACAAAGAGAGCTACTACCGTGAAAAATTGTAAAGCGCTAAATATGAGAATAAAGATAACACTGACAGATTTTGTTTTAGAAACCATGGCATCTAAAGTTACAAATAATGACACATCTTACGAGTGATCATGTGCTGAATGTTAATTAATTGTTTGTTTGATTATTTATTTCTGTATAAAACTCTATTTTACCATTGCTCTATTGTATTTATCTATGTTGCAATTAGTCTATTATATTCTCTGCAGATGCACTCTTCTACAAAATCTTCTCTTTCAATGTAAATGTATTAAGTATTTCAAAATCAAGCTATTTATGTTGTTTGGTGAAATATCACAATATAAATCACGTACAGTTTTTCCTAATATCGTGAAATGCAGCCCTTATTTGCTGCATTTCTTGTGTTTTGCTGTGAAAATATATACAAACTTGAGGTATATCAAACTGGATGAGCACTTTCTATGTGCAAATATTATATTATTTAACATAAAACAAAACAGATGGTGCTTCAGGAATTTTAATAGTGTCCGGGGTGGCCAAAATCGACAGTAAATGTGCAGCAATTAAAAAAATGGCCAGCTCCTTAATTTTGCACCATTTGTTGGATTTTTGTGTTTGATTTGGCAGTCTCAATATTCTTGAGGGACTGCTCAACACAACAGCTGCCTGTTTTTTTTTTATTCATTATAGTTCATGGAAATTCAGCTTTTGGTCAGGGAATTTGACGTTTGACTTTGTGTTTACCTTTGTTTATATGTAGCACAAGAGGTACTATATTAAACGTGTTGACAACTTTGGTGTTGTTAGCACTATTTAAATCATATGTCGTGTCACCTGTTTGATTTATCATTGCTCATCTGTCCCTGTGCAGGTGCTGAGGAGAAGATCGTGTCTGAGCTGAGGGAGGTGTATGATCCTCTGGCTCCGGACTTTCATCTCCAGGCTCTGGTGCGCTCTGCAGGGAAACTGGTCTTGTTGGATAAGCTGCTTCCTCGCCTCAAGGCTGGCGGGCACAAGGTGCTCATCTTCTCCCAGATGGTGAGGTGCCTTGACATCCTTGAGGACTACCTCATACACAAGAGGTACATGAAAACGTGTGATATTAAAGGCAACTGTAGCCAAAGGATTTTTTGATTCTGCCATCTGGTTTGTTAGATGGATCTAAAAATAGATGTGTGCTGTCTGATCAGATACCTGTATGAGCGCATTGATGGACGGGTCAGAGGAAACCTGCGACAGGCGGCCATTGATCGCTTCAGTAAACCTGATTCAGACCGGTTTGTCTTCCTGCTTTGTACTCGGGCTGGAGGTTTGGGCATTAATCTGACCGCTGCTGACACCTGTGTCATTTTTGACTCTGACTGGAACCCGCAGAATGATCTTCAAGTGAGGATCTTACAGCATATACTTATCTTCATAGTAATTTTAAGGCATTAAAGATTTAGTTTCCTGTCCCATGTGGTCAGTCTCACAGTGTATTCTCTCTTATACAGGCTCAGGCACGTTGCCATCGTATTGGTCAGTCTAAAGCGGTAAAGGTGTATCGTCTCATTACCAGAAACTCCTACGAGAGGGAGATGTTGGACAAAGCTAGTCTTAAACTGGGGCTTGACAGAGCCGTTCTGCAGAGCATGAGTGGAAACAAGGAAAGCAGTGTCAACGGGGTAAGACTAAAATTAATCAGCATTACTCTTTTTAAAGGGATAGTTTAGACCAAAAGGAAATCCCTGACAATTTTTACTTTTAAAATATATAATATAAAAGGCGGTATAAGTTTCTAATGGTATGATAACCTTGGATAAAAAATATCACTGTATTCTGATCACTGCTCTAAAGCATGTTATCTTTAGCATGTTTTCTTTTTTGTATTTAACAAAAATACAAAATACCCCATTGAACAAAATAAATTTTTTTTTAGGAAACATTTATAGTATTTTGTAACAGTAAACATGTCAGGCTACATAATTAAAATAAATCATTGACTTCTGCTCTTTTCATTAGTTTCAAAAACACAGATTTCTTTACAACACAATTAAAAAACACATAAAATACATATACCTTAGAAACAGTATAACAGAAGAATTAAACAGTTTTATAAAAACTTGAGCGGCTTTTCCAAATCACTGTAAACCTTAAAACCGGTTATTGTCCCATACCTATTGTCATTTCAAACCTGTATGTCAGTTATTGTTTGAAATCATTGATTAAAGCATGCAAGTACAAGACAAAATTCCTCAGTTTGTGATGCATAGTCATTCAGTCATTTGCTTTAAACTTTCCTCAGATCCAGCAGTTCTCTAAGAAGGAGATTGAGGATTTGCTTCGTAAAGGTGCTTATGCAGCCATAATGGATGAGAATGACGAGGGCAGTCGTTTCTGTGAAGAGGACATCGACCAGATCCTTCAGAGACGAGCAACTACCATCACAATAGAGAGCGAAGGCAAAGGATCCACTTTTTCCAAGGCTAGCTTTGTGGCGTCTGAGAACCGCACAGATATCGCTCTAGATGATCCCGAGTTCTGGCAGAAGTGGGCTAAGAAAGCAGACATAGACATGGATTCTCTCAACAGGAAGGTACTGAGTAGTATCTAGAAAACTTGGTTTAGTATATCTATTATTTATTTTTATTCCTTCAGCTAATTTATTTATTTATTTTTTTTTCATGCAGAATACTCTTGTCATCGACACACCAAGAGTAAGAAAGCAAACACGTCAGTTTTCCAGCCTGCGTGGAGAGGGTGGTGATCTCTCTGACTTGGACAGCGATGATGACTACCCACCCCATAATTCCCGTCAATCCAGAGCCTCCAGACGCTCTGACCGGCATTCTGGAGGAGGCTATGGTCGCACAGACTGTTTCCGAGTGGAGAAACATCTACTCGTTTATGGGTGGGTTACCTTTTTAATCCATAATATATGAAATCGAGTTGAAATATGACTAATTGTATGAACTCTGGTGTGAGATATTTGAAATCTCATGGAATATGAACATGGCAATCTTTCCACAGGTGGGGTCGTTGGCGAGACATCCTGTCGCATGCTCGCTGTAAGCGGCGTCTCAGTGAACGGGACGTAGAAACCATCTGCCGTGTCATCCTGGTTTTCTGTCTGATTCATTATCGTGGAGATGAGAACATCAAGAGCTTCATTTGGGAGCTGATTACCCCTCCAGAGAATGGACGAGAACCACAAGCTCTGCTCAATCACTCTGGTGTGGTGTCTTCCCAATATGATCTTTTTTTAGTTTAGCGCTCTTTAATGCTGCCAGAAAGCAGCCTTGGGTGTTATTCTATCATGTATTCAGTAAGATCTACACTTACGTTTAATCTTCTTTTCTTATTCCACTGCTTTCATTGTGTATGTAGGATTGTTGCTTTTCAACTTTCATGTCAATTAATACATTTCAAGCCTGTGTAGGGTTTGAAACAGCATTTGTTTAATGTCAAGTAGACGGAGAGCTTTTATAGAGGCATGTAATGGCTTTCTCCTTTCCTTTAGGTCTGTCCATCCCTGTTCCTCGCGGCCGAAAGGGAAAGAGAGTGAAGGCTCAGAGCTCTTTTGACGTGCAGAAGGTTGAGTGGATCCGCAAATACAATCCTGACAGTCTGCTGCTGGATGACAGTTACAGAAAACACCTCAAACACCAGTGCAACAAGTACGTAAGATCCATCTAGGGCACTGTTTCATCATTTAATTGGCCTTGAGTGTCTTAATTTGGCTCTTTCTCCTTTTTCTGTCTTTTAGGGTTTTGCTGAGAGTACGTATGCTTTATTATCTGAAGCAGGAGGTCATTGGAGAACATGCTGATTCTGTATTGAGTGGAGCTGATGCAAGGTATACATCGCCTCATGTTGTTGCTTTAGAGCAGTAATTGTCAATAGCATGTGCTAAATACACAATTGATAAATGCGTCAGGCAGAAATGCCTTGCAGGTTGTTCTACCTGTGCTTACATCTTTTGGTCAACTGGTCACATAGTTATAAACAAATATAATTGATACCTCTAATTAAAGTTATTTATTTGTTTGGTTAAAGAACTACTTTTCAGGATTGCAGTTTTATGAATTAATGTTCTTGAATTTTATTCTTAAACAATATTACATGACTCAAGAATTTGCACTTCTTTCTTCCTGCAAGAGGAAATGTAGTGTCTGACACAGCAAAAAAAATGCATGTTCATTCTAAAAATACCTGTGGATTAATTGTTTTTCAGCCTACATGTGAGGTTTTGTAATTAATCACAGTTTTCTTTTTTTTCTTTTTTTTTGGAAACCCCTTTATATTCTGTCACTAATGCTAATGTGTTTTTTTGCAGGGATATTGATATCTGGTTGCCTGAAATGGAGCAGCAGGATGTTCCATCTGGCTGGTGGGATGCAGAAGCTGACCGATGTTTGCTTATCGGAGTCTACAAGCATGGTATGTGTAAGCTTTTACCCTCATTTCATCTTCAGATGTGTCTGAATGTTTTAGAAGTATTTTTTTAGAAGGAATCTAATACAGGGTGTCAGCAGGGTCTTAAAGTATTAAAAGTTGATAAATCAATTATGAGAAAGTGAAAGCTCTTAAAAGATATTAAAGTTTTTTTTTCCTCGTAATCCAGTTTTTATGAGGTCTTAAATGTTGTTCAAGCGTTGTCTAAAGTGTTTGACTCCAAAAAAGCATAAATATATTTATTTTTCTTGATTGGTTTGGGTCAGGTGCATCTGGCCAAGCTCCTCTGTCTGGTTGATTACATGTAATTTGCGACAAACACGGGAAGGTTATGTGGCTCTCTCCACATATAGTAAAAACATAGAGTAAGGCTATTCAATTGGCGGCCCGCGGGCCGAACTTAGCCCATGAGGCAATTTGTTTCAGCCCTCCAAATAGTGTGACCAAGACATCAAAAATAAATTTAGTTTAGTCGAAAAACGGCTGCTATAGTTATAAAGGGACATGCGTCTGTTCAATACAGCACAAGCTGCAGTTGAAGGCTGACATTAAGCGAGTGACTCGAGCAGCCGGAAAAATTTGGATACTAAGCTTAAAGGCTTCTCAACGATGCGTTTCTGTTGCACGGAACGAAACTGCTAAAACTAAACAAAGTTATGCCACCTGTGTGCTAGTTTAAGGTTCTGAGCTTATACTGGGCTATTAATTATGCACACTGGATTACCTATAGCAGTGGGCCGTTCACATATCACATCTTTTCTGCGTGCAAGTTTGTTATTTCCAATATGCCAATGCCCGTAGAAAACATCTCATGCTGTAGTGGTGAGAGTTATGCGTGTCTTTTAGTGCAATGTAAGCAAAAGATATTGATGAATTGTTTCAAATTATTAAAATGATTATGTATGTATGGATGCAGATAATAAGTTTATTTAAATACTTGTCTAATATAAAGCTTGAATTTATATTAGATGTGATAACCGTAAAACCTTGATTACTCTTCTGACTATATAACCGTACAACCAAAATCTATAACTGTTGCATCCATAATTGTTATGCAGTACAAAACATAACATATAAATGTGTTTGAATGTAGAAGAAGCCTACTTAAGCAATACACTAATTTAGTTGTGCTTTGAAATGCATCATTTGAATGTTTGTAAAAAAAAAAAAAAAAAAAGCCACTTTGTACAATGCACTGATATTATAGTTTCAAATTAAATTGTATTAACATTTTAATGTAGAAAAATACAACGTGCGTGTCTTGAGCAGAAATGCATAAAATGGGCTTTTATATGCTGTTGTGTCATCTCCTATATTGCAAGTCATATCTCTCCGGCCCCTCATTTGGGATGCTGATGACTGATGTGTTTTTCACTCTGTATCTTGTTATTTTCAGGATATGAGATGTACACCACCATGCGTGCAGACCCCTGCTTGTGTTTTGTTGAGCGATGTGGTCGTCCAAATGAGCAGGACATTAATGCAGAGCAGCAAGCAGCAGACCCAGAGCTTGGAGAGGGGTTAGTTTCAAATGGAGCTGATCTCCTAGATTCTAATACTGCAGCTCATGTGATTAACTGAAATATTTAACCATAAATTTTACAAATGTTTATTGTTGCCTCATATATACTTTTTGTGTCTTAGAGGGGACTACGACAAGTACTCTGAAGATCCAGAGTTCAAACCCGCAACGAGACATGCCAAGGAGATGTATGAGGAGGTAAATGCTTTTTTTATTTATTATTTCTCTCTCTAATGGAAATAGGAACTTAAATGAAATTGTGTTTTTATGCTTTGCTCCTCAGGGTGATTCGGTGAATGCAGATGGTGAGATTTGTGTGGAGGATCGATCTGCCCCTATGCAAGTTGAAGGACCGTCTTCGGGATCATCTGATTTGTGTTACTGGCCCACCAGCTCATCGCTCACAGCCCGACTGCGACGTCTTATCACAGCTTACCAGCGCAGTTACAGACGAGAGCAGCTTAAGATCGAGGCAGCAGAGAAGGGGGACCGTAGGCGAAGACGCTGCGAACAAGCTACCAAACTCAAAGAGATAGCCAGACAAGAGCGACAGCAACGGTATGTTCGTTAATAAAACCTGAAGCATAATCTTCAGTCTCACTTTCCCAGAATTCTCACAAGCTTCTCTATTTCAGGTGGACTCGTAGAGAAGAGTGCGACTTTTACAGGGTGGTATCGACATTTGGGGTGGAAAGGATAAAGAAAGAAACAGATGCTCCAGAAGGGGACGAGCATCACATGGACTGGAATCGTTTCCGTTCTTTTGCTCGACTCGATAAGAAAACCGATGAGAGCTTGACACGTTACTTTAAGTGCTTCATGTCCATGTGTCGGAAAGTGTGTCACATTCGGCCAGGACGTGGAGACGGTATGTTATTGTTTTTTTTTTCTTATACACAAAACATAAAATGTGTAAACCAGGGGTCACCAACATGGTGCCCACGGGCACCAGGTAGCCCGCGAGGATCACATGTGTTGCCCACAGGCCTGTTCTAAAAAATAGCTTACCATAGCGCCACTTACCAGTAAGCTTCATCTAATATAGAAGTAATCATTTAAAAATGTAAATATTTGCAGAGAAATATAAAAATAAAGTGTTGCACATTGATACATTAAATACAGGGTATTTCCTACCCTGTTAAATCATCGTTGATAACTTTTGTGAGAATCATTAACATGATCAGTGTCTTCACATGGATGAATATCTTTTTTATTATTACCAAAAACAAAGTATAATTGAAAGTAAATTGAGCAAATTTGTTATTTGAGAAGTGTTTATCAAACTGGTAGCCCTCCACATTAATCGGTACCCAAGAAGTAGCTCTCAGTTTCATAAAGGTTGGTGACCCCTGGTGTAAACCATCCATCCCGCCCAGCCAATTTGACTTGTTTTCAAGCAAGACAAGATGCTGAATGTTTTGTGAGTTTTTTGGTCTCACTTTTTGGGTCGGTTAGGATTATCATGCCTTAAATTCCATTCGATGTCTTGGTGCATCACATTGCATTGACGGTGCTTTCCATACACGTATTTTTTGTATTTTACTTCACAGCACAATAATTCTTGTATTCAAATTTTTGAATATATTTATATATTTCTTGTAATACAATTTTGTCCTTTAATGCAAGCTATTATTGCATTAATATAGATATAGATAGATATAGATCTGACTATCTAAAAACTGCACCTTTAAAAACTCAAGTTCATGCACAGTACAACATGAGCATTTATAGCAAATAAACAAATGTAAATTTTTCGCTCGATTTCTGAGTCTTGTCAAGCGAGTTCTTACACCCCTATGATATTAGTCACATGCTCAACAGGAAGGGCTGCAATTGGCTCTAACGCTTGATGAGTGACACTGATAAACAGCAACGGTGATCACAGCTGATCCATGATAGACGCGGAGGAGAAAACTTGCGAAAACAATACCCCATGCCAACAGGTCAAAGGTCCACATTGAGAGAGAAAGAAATGGAGTTTACTTTCATTTTCTCCATAGCTGTGAAACAGGGCTTCTGCTGTAACTTTAGTGTCAGAGAAAGACTGTCCAGCAAACACACATGCAGTGAATTGTGCACAGTTTCTGTGTTTTTAGGTTGTTGGAGTGTTTTAATTACTCGCGGGCGCCTCCCTCTAAATAGTAAACTATCACTATATAGCACATATGAGATTAGTGACGTCAGTACATAATAACTGGTTATGATCTATTACTGCTCGGATACTGAATTGTTTGTGTGTGCGTCTCGGTGCACAGATGAAACAAGTCATTTTGACACCCCTAATGTTTAAAATATAATAGTGTCATAATAGCTTATAAATTGGATGTTTTATGATGTTCATTGTTAATAAATAATAATTAAATAAATAAAAATATTTTAAAACACACAAGATTGAATTAAAAACGTGTTTGAAATGGTAGTTGTTGTAAAAATATTCTTTGTACTTAAGATATTTTATTTATTTTTTTATACTTTTTAAGTTCGTTATGTCTATTCTTGTGCGCATATTGTGAGTGACGTGCATGCGCCGCTCACACTTTCCAAGTGCACTAGTGCACAGTGCGAGTGCACTGAGAGTCACGTGACATGAAATGGACCAATCAGGTACATACTATTTATAGAATCTGCACGTCATGCTGCAAAGCGAGAAAAAAACTACAAAATGAAAATACCAAACAATTTCATAATACAGTTGATCAAAAGTGCCTTTCAGGCAGAGGTTCAGCAGCCTTTGACTACATTTGTTCTCTAATATGTAGCTTAGATTTACATTAGACAAATGCTATATATTTTTAATTTATTATTCTGTCATTTATTTTCAGTGTAATATTATTATTTATGTTTCAATGCCAAAAACTTTTTAAACTTATTTTTAAGTATATAGAGAAATGGATTATCATCATTTTGTGCTATCTTGATTGGTTACTCCACAGCAATAAAAACACATTAAAATATAAGGAGTTCTCAAGGTATTTTCTAAACTAGTAGTGTTTTGTTATTAATGTATGCATGATAATCGCGATAAATCTAAAACCATGATTATTTTTCAGACTATAATCATACAACCAAAATCTATAATCGTTGACTCCCTATTAACAACATGAAGTCTTATAGAAAACAAGAACTGCTAGTTACAAATTAGGGTTAAGGTGCAATTTAGAGGTTTAGTCATTGCTTGTTCAAAGTAAATAATCCCATTTTATCCGATAATATTCCTCTTTATCTTTCAGTTACTGGAGGGAAAAGGTCTTTTTTTCTCCAAATAACATATTAAACTATCACTATACAGAATAAGTTCCATGTCGCATGGCTTCTCTTGAACTTTTTATAATATTTCATATATCATATCATAAAGGTTAAAATTATTTTACAGCTTGGCTTAAGTAGTTATGAAGTAAATAATTGTTTAATAATTTAATAAAGTTAAATAAAAATGTAAATAATTAATTTCTTTTCCTGGTATAAAAATAGCATTTTTAAAATTGGGCTTTCTCACATACACAGGTTTTTTTTAGATTGCTATAGTCCCACCAAACAAAACTACAGCAAAACACCAAAAATCTTTATTTCTAATTCTTTAATAACACTTTTTTTTCCCTGTCATCTTTTCTTCCTTTATTAGAATCTCAAGATATGTCTCAGTCTCTGGCCCCGATCACAGAAGAGCGAGCCTCACGAACTCTCTACAGGGTCACCCTGCTGTGTCGGTTGCGTGAGCGTGTTCTTCCTCACCCCTCGCTCGAGGAACGCCTCAGTCTGGCACCACAAACCTCTGACCTGCCCAGTTGGTGGAGCATCCCAAAGCATGACCACGAGCTTCTCTTAGCTGCTGCCAGACATGGAGTGAGCCGCACTGAACTCTCCATCTTCTCTGACCCACTGTACTCCTTCAGTCAGAGCCGCCTCGACTACCTCCAGAACCAGCAGGCTCAAGCAGCTGCACAAATCCACGCCTTCAGTCAGTCACAGGATCCAGCCGGCATCAAAGAAGAGGGCCTGGAGGATGAGTCTCGACTGCTGGGTGTGGAGGCTCTCTGTCCGTCAGACTCTCCGGCCATGCTGCTCTCTCATTCTGACAGCAAAGTTGGCATTCAGGCTGGCTGGGTCTGGAAGAAGAGCAAAAACAACGGGCCGAGTGAGAGGAAATTGGGAGGGGGAGGAGGAGGGGCTTCAGACTCTGATTCTGATTCAGATTCAGGCTCGTCTTCCTCCTCTCGGCATTCAGGCAGCTCAGATGATAGTGGAGACAGTGATGTGGAGAGAGAACAAGGTAAGCGGACACTTTATTTTGAAGTCCTCATGATATCTAAATTGACTCGGTGCACTTTTGTTAGTTTTCCATGATATTTTTAGAGTGAAATGTATAGTCAATGCGCTGTTACTCCAGACAAAAATAGTTCGTTGCGTTTAGAAAGCACATTATACAAAATATAATGCTTTATTTTCACGAAATTAACTGTAGAAAAAATATATGATATTTGCTTATTGGTTCCAAAATAAGGCAGAAATCTTTTGAAGGAAACTAAAACATTTTTATTAGCTGTGATTTTAAATCAGGGGTCTCAAACTTAAATTGGCGGGGGCCATATCAATGACTGACAATTCATAAAAGTGGAAGTGGAATTCTCATGTAATTGATGCATTCAGACTTTCTTCCCCAGAGCATACGCAGTCACAGCTTCTTCTTTTTTGTTTCTTATTGTACGTATTGAAGGGGTAGTTTAAGTTGCTATGAAAATACTACAATTTAATAATAGGCATAGTAATATTATAATTACTGTGTCCCAATCTTTACTCAACCAAAAGTTTAACAGATAACACAAGAACAGCAGAAAGTAGATTGGGTAATCTTAGATTGGGTAAGAGACTTTACTGGCAATTGTTCTTCTCAATCACTTTTTTTTTTTTGTAAAACTACAACAAAAAGGGGGTAGGGGTGTATATTCACTATTACTTTAACAAGTTCATTTCAGCCAGCAGTCAAACTTTACTAATGCAGATTTTTTATACAAATCTTAATATGCATATTAAATGAGAGCATTTGAATGGAATATTAGCAAAACTATCATATTTACACCACCCTCATAACCCATAAGCCATTGAGATGAGCTTGTACAACACGATACAGGTGGTGTAAAACTAATTATAATCAAATCACCCTTGAATATTTTAAACATATAGCTTTAGTAGAAATGGAGCATCTACGGACAGATATTTCAGCGTTTAAATCAGCTCCAGAAAATAATCTGCTTGTGGTACTTTCGAGCGCATGCTGAGAAAAACCAAATGCAACCCAAACATATAGTACAGTACTTAAGACGTCCAGTAGGTGGGGGGTCAAAACCACTAGTGGCTATATGTGACTGCACTGCACAACAATGATAGTGATTCAAAAATATATGTTTTGTGGGGACGAATCTCATATTTTTGACATCATATGCGGGCCGGAGGGAGGAGGAGGGGGGGACGCAAATGGCCTGCGGGCTGGCAGTTTGAGAACCCTGTTTTAAATATTAGTTTTTTATAATATATAAAACCTTTCTGATCAATTGAATGCAATGTTGTTGAGTGTGGACAGTTAGTTAAATGTATTTTGAAGTATTTTTAACAAGAGTATATGTATTCTGTAAAACATTAGGGTTTATGGGAAGTGCTAGATCTTGGCTTCCTTAACTTTTTGTTGAATCATTATTCCTTGAGACAAAGAATAAAACAAGTGCATATTTTTTAAAGTTTTAGTAATAAGATTTCTTTCATTTGGATTATGAACATTATATTTTTATTTTGCTTGAAGATGGGCAACAAAAGCTTCTTAATTCTAAGGCGATAAGATTTTTTTAGTGTCACTATTAAAGATCTAAAGTTATTGTGATTTATTTTTCTCAAATGTGGAAGAACAGCATATGTCCAGGTAGTGTGGAATAACAGTATAACTCCAATTCATGATAACACTTTAAACCACTTCAGAGCTGATTCCTTTATCTTAGTTTTAATACAGTAACAGAAACTTCAGGTTAATAAGCATTTCTTTAGAGTTTATTATTATTATTATTATTGTTATTATTTAATACAAAAGTACAGTATAAACAATGTACAATATAAAGTCCTTTTTACAGTACAGGCAATAACAATCAATTATTAACAATAAATAAATGCAACAATAAACGCTTACAACGCAGACATACATTTTAGCTAAATGCCATGGTTTATTTAGAAAAGCCATCTCAAAATATAAATAAATATATTAGCAAATAAACTCTGCTTGCCATAGTTTACACAGGACTGGTGGGAAATATGCATTGACTCCGCTTTATTATATATGGTATGTGGTTTATTTTGATAGGTTGACTGTTTTTGTGCCGTTTAGCACAAGAGAGAGAGAGTCCTTCCATTTGTTCATGTTTGCTCTCCTTTTTTTTTTCTTTTTTTTTTTTTTGCTTGTTATCTACGTTTTAATTATGCGAAGCGGACATGACATCAAGCAGGATCTCTATTCTTCTTAGTGGAAATAAACGTTTTTTTCACGCTTTATTTAGCTATTTTAATGTTTAAAATGCAGACTCTTGGTCTTGCGAAAATATCCCCAAACTGTTTCTGTATACAAAGTTCATGAATAAAATTTAAAGTCACATTATTTTATTAATTATTTATTTTTGGACGTATACGGTTGTTCGTCAGATGCACTCATTTAATGCACGGTGTTCCAGAAATTCAACAAATGAGACTGTCTGGCTTTCATTCAACTTAGTTTAACTTGCGTTTTGTTTTTCTTTGCTTATCTTTATTATTCTGGGTGTGATGTACTGTTGTTTTCTGCACAGCTCTACTAGTTGCTCATTCTTAACTAGAATGATTTTGATCTCTCAGCAGCAGCTCTTAAGATGTGTGATGGTGATGAAGAAAACAGCATCCTCTCACTCACGCCGTCACAGGAAGGAGCTCCACCTGAGTCCCTCACTGACCCTCTAAGAGTGGACTGGCCCAAAGACCGCATTCTGATCAACAGGATAGAAAACCTCTGTTCACTGGTTATTACGGGACACTGGCCGTCAGGTCGCCGCTACATCTCTGACATCCAACTTAACACTGTATCTGATGAGCATGAACTCGGAGATGACCTCGGTTACTCACGGGTGGCACGAAAAATCAACAGTACCTTATCTGCAGAGGCTCTCGAAGGCCAGGAGTCAGAGTTTACAGTAAAGCTCCTAAAGGTGAGATCAGGATTCTTCAAGTCTGAATGGAAAATAGCATGTACTTTTACATGCTGATAGACCAAGTTGCTGCAGTCAGCTAAATTTACAAATATACATTGGGTGAAGTAATCTACAGAATGGAAAAAATTATTGAGTTACTAAATAAACAGAGGTGTCTAATAAATCAATTAAATGTTTCTCTGCTAAATACATTTTCAGCAATTACTTGTTGCCATTTACTTGTGTTAGAATATAAAGGCATATTTACTAGGGATGCTCCGATCAGGATTTTTGCTGCTGATACCGAGTACTGATTTCTTGTCATTGTAAATGGCCGATACAGAGTACCGATTCTGATGCTTTAAGCTTGATATAACTTTGCCATTGCATAAAGCACATTTTTTGTCTAAGTATGATATTTAAGTGGAGATCTCTCCTCACCTAAGATAATAAACTAAGGATCCTGCATATAATCCTATACATTATTATTATTACTGCATATAACCTAAAATATGTCTCTTATAACCATTTAGTATGGACAGAAGTAGCTTTACAGAAAATAATAAATATGTCGGAGACTCGCAGAGCTTCCGAGAGGTCATACGGGTTGGACACAAGATGAGAGCAGAACAATCAGCCCCATCACAGCAGCTCAAAACTGTGGATATGCAATGGTTGCAACAAAGAGACTATCACTCACGCCAATGAACTGTATAAACATCTATATTTTAGCTGCTGTGACGCATGTGCAGCGTTCGCTTATGCCCCCACGCATCATTTGTCTCTTCACATTGTAGTGCTGCTATCTGTATAATCCAGGTGCGCATACGCGTCCTCCTCTGTTTGTAAACTCATAAACGCACTTTGCGATCGGTTCATAAGATCAGACAGATTGGCGAGTACCGATCAAGTCATTAAATGTGATTATTGGCCGATATCGATCCCCAGCCAATTGATCGGAGCATCCCTAGTATCTACACGATCCATTTAATGTGGTATAGGATCTTTACACTGAATTGTGATCAGACCCTGAGTTTGTTCAAATTGTAGTTAAAGTTGACAAATTAAAAATGAAACGCCTGAAATTACATGATAAAATGTGGATGGCACGGTGATGCAATGACGTTGATCGACTTCTGTACTATAACATGTGAAGCAAGATCATGAAACAAACATTCAAAAAGCAGCTCATGTAAACACCTAAATCTCATTATTGTCTTATTCAGATTATGGCAAATAATTAGATTAATGATGTCCATGTAAACATGGTCACTGACACATTGGTGCCTTAAATTGGCGGTTTAAGGTGACTAAATTGTAAACATCTTTATTTAATAGGGTTGGGTTGCATTCAAAAAGGTGATTTATTTTGATCTGCCATACTATGGACATCATTGGGAATAAATTAGGAATAAAATCCCATGGATGTAAAAAAAAAAAAAAACAATTAATTGTGCAGCTCCAACAATTTCAATAAAGTTTGTCTTATTTTTTGTTTTTTTCTTTTCTTTAGGAGGAAGGCCTAAAGCTGACCTTCTCCAAGCAGGCTCTGATGCCAAACGGTGAAGGGAGTGCACGCAAAAAGCGAAAGGACCATGAGGTATAGATATGCTGTTTCATAAACTCCACTGATTAAGTTTTAGGGAAGAAGTAACCTTTAAATTGACGCCAAATGTAAAATTGTTGTTGTTGTTCTTCAGCTGGAAGATGCAGAAGGGGTTCTCCACGCTCCCCGCAGGAGGGACCTTCCCAACTGGCTCAAAGAAAACCCAGATTATGAGGTTGAGGGAGATATGCTAGAAGTAAGTACACAATTGAGGTTGAGTTCTCTTTGGGTTCTTCTTGGACTGAAGTGTCTAATGATGTTTCCTCATGGTTGCAGTTACTGGTGAACCGGACCAAAAGGAAGAGGAGGAGGAAGAGGGTGGAGAAAGGAGCAGCACTTACTGGCAGCGAGAGAGTGAAGGTCATAGACATACGGACAGGCAAGAAGGTGAGGGGAAGCAGTTGGAAGTTCTGTCGTTAACACAGAGTAAAAAGTCATTCACTGTTACACTAGTTTATATGCTGAAAAATCTTCAAAAGACATTTGCAGAAAATAACTTTAAATCATTAAAAAATTAAATAGATTTTTTTGCTAATAGGTTCTGTTCATTAAAGTAGACGTGCGCGCGTATATCATTAAGTAGGGTGTGTGACCGCCCTCTCCTGGTCAGCAGCTCACGTCACGTGTGATTTCCCAGCCGCGAATACAGCATTATATGAAGACAAAATTGATTTTTCGATTAATTGTGCAGCTCTACCCTGTACTGTGCGTAAATCCGAATTAAAGAAAAAAAAATTTTAATAGATAAATATTTCTCTCCTGCACTCACATTTGCATGTCATGACCACGTGCGCTCTATATACATTATAAATTAAGCCAGGATGCACATTTGTTGTTATCCTCTTTAAGTCATCTGTCCTTATATCTTCATAAATTCTGTACTACAGCCTAGCACCTGAAATGTAATACATGAAAGTTTCATAAGTTTATATTAATTACAGTATTAAAAAGCAGGGACTACACCGAAGGAAAGGGAAATTGAAAGTAATTAACTCTTTTTAGCAGTGTGTGATATCTTTTTTTAGGGTGGAATGTTAAAGTATATTAGGTTACTCAATTAAGCTTGACTTAATATTTTTAAACTTCAAAAAATTGACTGACTAGTAGTTTATCACGTGAAATAAGGAGTCCCTAAATAACAGGAAAAATTATATTCTGTGGACACAAGAGAATTAACCGAGTTAAAGCGTCATCTAGTGGCAGTTTGTGAATCTGTCTTGACATTGAGGTACAATTATAAACCTATTAAACATTATTTTGGGGTCTCTTCTTCCTTTTTTTGTACTCAGCTGATCACATGCCTGAATATGGTTTGTGTAAATAAAATCACTTTTGTGAATTTAATTTGTTGCAGACACCAAAGTAGTTATTAGGTACTTTTCAAAAGTTAAATTTTTTTTTTTGATGTATTAAACCTGTATTATTGATCCAATCAGCATGTTTGATGAACATCATAATTTACTGCTGGTGCACATGGTTTGTAAAATTACAAAAGGCTAAAATTCAACAATTCACAATGATGTTTGTTGAGGACCGTTGTGTTTCTTGGGATATTTGGTGCAGCTGAATATGAACGTTTGGTCTTTCCTTACACTTTTTATCTCCCAGTTTGCTGGAGTGTTCGGGCCTGCACTACAGGACCTGAGAGAGCACCTGGAGGAGAATCCTGACCACGCTGTAGCACCGGAATGGTCTGAGACTGTTCGCCACTCGGTTGGTGTCTCCAGTGTCATTTCAGTATCTTTTATTACCTAAACTAGTGCTTGTAAGTTGATTCAATCTTTCTCTTGAACCTCAGGGCTTCTTGCCTGAGATTTTATTCCACAGACTGTTGAGTCCCCACGCTTCAATCCCCAAAAAGAGCCGGCATTACCTCCACACCCCTTCCCTTCAGACCGACGACCCTCTCCTGGGAGGCGGTGAAGGTGAGATGCTAGTTTCTGACGGCGCCTACATGATGGACGATGAAGACCTGGAGGACGGAGGTCACCTCACGTCATCTCACCACTTCCTCACTCCAGCCTATGATGTGAAAATGGAACCGAGCGCGCTCGATATGGACGGAGGCGACAGTTTGTCACAGGGCGGTTATGATAGCTCTGACAGAGAGGCCATTTTGGATGATGTCATCATGGCACCCAAACATTCGGACACTTCCTCGAGCTCAGAGGATTGACCAAATCTCACGTTAGATGTAGTAGACCGAGATCATGACAGTCTTTTATTTTATTATATTCTGCCTTCATTATTTTTATAATTATTATTGATGTTATTGCTTAAACTATGGAGTAACAGATTCTGTTTTTTCTTGGGTTGGATTTGTACTTGACTGTTTCGTGTAGATCGAGGAACGATACGGGCGCCGCTGTGTTATCTATTTTTTTGTTAAGGTTTTTTTCTTTACACCTCATTCAGCACATTGTGCGAAACCTTAATTCCAGCTGGTTGAAATATATGAATTTAATGCATCACCTACCCACAGTAAGCTCTGCTTTTGGTCATTTATTGGCTGGAAAAGGAGTGGTTTGTCTCACGTCCTCAGGCTGAACTGTTTAACAGTGTGCTGGAGGATCCATAGTCACGCACTGAGCTGAGCCATCATGGTGCCTCGGTCTGGTGAAGAACATGGAGTTTTTCTGTTGGATGTATATCATTTTTTTTTCTGTGAGTGCGTGCGTGTGTGTGTTGGGGGAGGGGGGTGGGTGATGTTAGGGATTAGGGTTAGTTACTGAAACAATGTTAGACAGATGATGGCTGTATTGTACAAAGTAGAGTTGGTCCTATGCCTGCAATGATGCAAAAATTATGCGTTTATTCCCGTTTCAATAACTGACTCCAACTGTCTCTGTGATATAAATATGAATAGCAGTCTACAGTGGAAACTGATGTCTGTTGACTTCATTTCATCTAGTGTTGGTATTTATTTAAGTAATGAGCACTCAAGGATTATTTTTTTTTTTGTTGTCTGCCTGGAATACACGCCGAGTAGTAAAACAAGTTCATTCTCTCTCATATTTTGTAACTTTAATATGGAGAAAAGTCATTTTTGATGGCTGTTTTATAATGGGCAGATCAGTAAGACGTCCAGTAACAGATTAGTATAGTTTAAACCACTCATGCAAAGGCGAAACTAGCATTGCAGTACTGAAAAGACAACTAAAGGCCTGGAAAAATGTTACCTGACAACAAGCAATGTATGTAAAGTTCATATAGCAGGGTGGCCACGGAGTCTTAAAAAGGCTTAAATTCACTGAAATATTGTGTTGTTAAACAATTTTAAATATGACTCAATTTTTCTGTGTCCAACCAAAGCTACCCTATCGGGCTGACACTATCACCAATAATCAATCTTAAAACTGTTTTTGTTTATGTTTAAGTTTTTTTTATTGCTAAAAGAGATACAATTCACAATAGCTGTTAGACATTTTTACAGAAAATTCTCTAAATTAAATTCTCTAATCAGGGAAAGAAAACTAAAGCAACACGTCCCTTTACATCACAGGTGTCAAACTCGGTTCCAAAAGGGCAGCAGCTCTGCACAGTTTAGTTCCAACTCTAATTAAACACACCTGAGTAAGTCCTTCAGGCTTTTTTGAAACCTACAGGTAAGTGTGTTGGAGCAGGGTTGGAACTAAACTGTGCAGGGCTTCGGCCCTCCAGGAATTGAGTTTGACACCCCTGCTTTACATGATCTTCCAATAATACAAAAGGCTATTTACAGAAGTAACTGGGCCATTCGAAAAAATCCTCAGTGTTAAGCCCTGTATGTCATTCATAATGGTCTTGAAAGAGTCTTAAAAAGTCTTAAATTTGATTTGAAGTTTGAATTATCACAAAATAACACACATAAAAGTGTGTGTGTGTGTAGGTGGGTAAGTGTGTAAGCCTTATTAAATCACCAGTGGTGGGAGTAACGAATTACAACTACTCACGTTACTGTAATTAAGTACATTTTTGGGGTAATTGTACTTTCATGAGTAGAATTTTAAGCCTGTAATTTTACTTGTACTTGAGTAAAAATTAAGCTGAGTAATCTACTTCGTTACTTTTAAAATCACAATTCGTTACAGAGTACTGTAAATAAATTAATATTTCAGCCACGCACTGACCAGCATTTCGGTAGCCAATAAAAAAAGCTGATCTTAACGGACCAATGAAAAGCCTGGTACATTATTTGAACCGAAAAACAAGTTCAGGCTACTGCAGATTTACGTGACCGTCATCATACAGTCACAAAGTTATCAATTACATATGGAGATTTAAGACAGAAGAAATGAGGAAGAAATAGCAGAGGATGAATGCCCATTGCCACACCTGGAGGAGCTGTTCACCTACAGGTACATAGGGAAAAAAGGGGACAGCTGTGCTGATGTGATTAGCTATGGTATCATCTAAAATGCTAATTAAATGTATGCCCAAAACTGGAATATCGCATAAAAGACTGCAAATAAAGCAGCGTTTCTGTCCAACAAGTCAAACAAAATTGCCACCTGATTAACTGGCGACAAATATCAAAAGTAAAAACAGAATTAGCATCAGTAGGAGCAGCTGCATGAATAAATTATCTTCATTTAATAAGTGACTTGCGCATCAGAAGGCAATCCTGCACGCAGTGAACGCGCGCTGGAAGGCGCGAGACACGGAGTGCAGGCACTCTTGACAGTTCTGGAGGTCATTATTAATATAATATAATACTGAAATGGTTGAGGCGGTTTAAAATGACCAAAACAACACTTTAGATGTTTTACAATGTGCTTAGCCTGCTGGTTTGTCCATTCACACACATTTTCAAAATATATGCGCATTATAGCGTTTCGATCAACCGTTTTTATGTGCATATCCAAAAAGCGCAAAAAAAGGTGGATGAAACCTGCCCTCTGCTGTACCATCCGGCTTACACAGGGTTTCCGTGGGGTCTTAAAATGTCTAAAATATAAACATCTAAATTTTAGGCCTTAAAAAGTCTCAAATTCGCTGTTCCAGGTCTGAAATATGTTTGCACAGGTCTTATTTTTCCGATGTACATGTAACGCTACTCCTAATGCTCATTTAATTTTTTTGTTGTTGCTTGGTTTCGTGGTGGTGTAGTTCTTTATTTCACTATTCCTATTTTAATTTGCAGTATTAAAACTACAAATAAGAAAAGACCAGCATGCAATAGCTCAGTGCGCGCGGCGAATGTGACGTCATCGCCGTGTTTGCGGAGGTTCACTTTGGACGCGCGCGACATGATTTCGGGTGAACAGTTTCGCGCGGCGCCGCGCTTGATTTGAGTTGAATTTGAATCACTTTGAAGAGATTTTGACTGTAACAGTACGAATGTACAGACATCTTAACTATCCAACCATGCGTGATCAGCATAGAGATGACCAGATGACCAATAATTCTTGGCTAGAAATTGCAACAGCCATGGAAAGGAAGTGTTTTGTTAAAGTTGGGAAAAACCTAGGGGATAAGTTTGTTACAACAAAAAAGAGGCCATGGCAAAAGTGGAGACCCAGGTGGTTTTAAGATTACAGAATATGTTTTTTCACCATTTATTGGTTTTAAACTGATGTATCATTTTGAAGTTAAAGCAATGTAAAAAAAATTAAGTAACAAATTAAGTATTTGATAACTGGAAAAGAATATATGAGCCCATCGGCTTACAGTGTACTCAAGCTTAATTTATAGGCTTTATTGGTGATAATAGACAGGATTGTTGGACCATTATTGCCTTTTCAGCTCATTAGTAGAGGACAGAAACTAGCCAGACAATAATGTGTCAATTGTTGAGTGGGCAAAAAATAATATATATATTTTTTTGCTATTATTCTTGCCAGAATAAAAAAAATAATTGTAGAGTAACCCATGTTCTGTTGTCATTGATATTTAACTTTAATAGGTAGAACTGTCTGAGATATAAACACAAGTGAGTGATGCATCAAACTCTAATTAAAAAAATCTTGAATAGTTATAAAACTTTATAATCATTCATTAATTTTCTTTTTGGCTTAGTTCCTTTATTAATCTGGGGTCGCCACAGCGGAATGAACCGAATGATTTATTAGCATATGTTTTACACAGCGGATGCCCTTCCAGCTGCAACCCGTTCTCATTTACAACAACAGACAATTTAGCTTACCTAATTCACCTAAAATGCATGTCTTTGGACTGTGGGGAAAACCGGAGCATCTTGAGCAAACCCACGCAAACAATCGGAGAACATGCAAACTTCACACAGAAATGCCAACTGACCCAGCCAAGGCTTGAACCAGCGACCTTTTTGCCTTGAGTCGAGAGCGCTACCCACTGCCCCACCCCGTCACCCAACTTTGTAATCATAATAAATTATAAAAATAATGAAAAATAATTATTTTTAAAATCTTGAACAATAATAAAGATATGACGTAGTTCTGGAAACGTTTTACTTCTCTGTTTATCCGTCTGACTTTACAGTGAGGTTTCTTTTGACTGGCCCCTGATGTTTTAAAGAATATCACAATGACGAACACGTCTAGTATTAAAGCCTCATCCATTTCGTGAAGTGCGCACAGTCAGCGGAGGTGTGCAATGCGGAGCCAGGCGAAAGTATAAATCAGCCTCAAAATGTTTGTTTCTTTGTTTTTTTGTTCCTGCACTTCAATGGTGCATCTAACCTGTCTTCAGTACTGTTCTATTTAAATAATTTTATTTTACCACAAATTTTGTGTTTTTGCATTTTCTCTTGCATGCTTTTGATATTGTGATATAGGTCTTAAATTTAATACTTTATGGTCTTAAAGAGGTCTTAAAAAGTCTTAAATTTGACATTATGATATCTGCAGAAACCCTTTTTTTTAAGACTTCAATCTATAATCTAAAAAAAAAAACATTATGGTAAGAAGACATAACTTAATTTGTGTGATATTATATTTATTAATAATATGTTTAGGCACTAGGCAGTGTTGTTCTGTGGTTTCTGACGGTTCAGTTCGCGAATTAGGTAATTAACAAAGTTTCTCCATAATTTGCAAGTGTTTTTTTTTATTTATTACATCATCTATTGATCGTACAGATAAAAGAGGCATCAGTTGAAATGATAAAAAGTCGTGCATTTGTGCATATTTCTGTTATAGTAAAAAGAAAAAAGTAAAAGTAAAAAGTTTGTTGGTTCAAGCCCTGGCTGAGTCAGTTGGTGTTTCTGTGTGGAGTTTGCATGTTTTCCCCATGTTGGCGTGGGTTTCCTCTATAGGTGCTCTATAATTACTATCTATAATTAATGCTGTTTACACAGTTTTAAAAGTGTTTATAGTATCTTTAAATGTGTTATGTAAAATGTGTTACTGCCTGGATCTTGTCTGACTCCGCATTTATGGATAATTCCACCAATACCGCCAAGCTAAAAAAGTAATTTGTAATTTTGTAATTTGAGTAGTTTTTACGAAGAGTAATTTGTACTTTTACTTGAGTACTTTTTAACACCAGTACTTTTACTTGTAATTGAGTACAATTTCAGCAATGTAACAGTACTTGTAATTGAGTACAATTTTTTTGTACTCTTACCACCACTGTAAATCACAGGGCAATTTTTTCTTATTTAAAGTTGTGTTGCTAAATTTAGCATGTGTTCAAAGCAGGACTACCCAAACTTTTTCCCATAAACAGTCAAAAACCAAACTTGATTGAGTGCTGTGAGCCGAATATATACCAAATCGTATTTAAATTTGCCATGGGTTAATTCCTAAATTATTCAGTAATATTTAAAAATTTAGAGCTTTAAACCACATTAACTAATGCAGTATCATTTTGAACATTTTATAATGAATATTACAATATAAACATGAACAATTCCATTTATAACACAATGGAGTTCAGTTCTGAATACACTCGAGCTGCTCTTGCTCTTACCTTGATTTGCTCGCAGATGTCTTGTGCATTCTCCTCTATCAGTCAAGTGAAAGTATTTACATTTTAAAAGTCTGATTCATTTACAACATTTAATTGAATTATTTAATTTCAGTT